GAAGTCAGCAGAATACTATTGGTCTATAAAAGCTGACCTGGTGCTCAACACCCATACTACTAGTCTGGAGGCTCAGTGCGGGGTGTGTGTGTGTGGGGGGGGGGGTTTCCATCAAATGGGCACAAAACCAAACCCAGCTTTTCTATAGTAAACATTTTCTGTGGTTGTCCGAGAAAAAACAACTGAATAGTTTCACCAATACGCCATTTATATCCCGTGAGCTATTATGTACAATGCATCCGTCGGTTTTATCCGTGTCCATGCTCCGGCGAAATTCAGGAAAACTCATAAAAAAATTTGCAAACTTTTAATCACGTCGTCAGATACGTGTTTTCCGGTCACACATTAACGTCGGTTTTCTCGGGATTCCCGGAAATCCACGCGGCTTGCAGGCTGGAGTCCAACCATGAAACTATTCAGTTGTCATCTTCGTCTTTACAATATCACCTGATGGTGTCGTAGAAAGGGTAAATAAAATCGGACTAAGAACAGAACCTTGAGGTACCCCAGATGACAAAACAGATTCGGACGACGATTTTCAATTAACTTAAATTCACTGTTTTCTACCCACAAGATAGCTTTCAAAAGATTTAATGCAGAGCCACAAATACCGAATTTTGAAATGAAGTCTAAGTGAAAGAATACAAGGATCCACCGTGTCGAAAGCAGCAGATAAGTCTAATAAAATTAAAAATGTACATTTTCTATTATCAATTTCCATTAGAAAATCATTTGAAACCCGGGTTAAACCTGTTTCGGTGCTGTGAAATTGTTTATAAGCACTTTGAAATGGTTTATACAAACAGTTACCATCTGAGACGCATTACATTTCTCCAATATTTTAGAAATAAAACTTGCGTTAGAGATAGGTCTGTAATTCTTAAAAACATTAGGATCAAGTGTAGATGTATAAGCTTGTTTGAAAACGTTGGGAATAGTAGTGGATGATATACAAGAATTAATAATATTGGTAAAAACTGATATAACTTCGTCTAGACAGTCCTTAAGAATAGGAGTCAGAACAAGGTCTAATGAACAAGATTTATTAATCAAATGCCTGATGGCATATTGTCAAAATCTGTTCATACGACCGCTGATGCGACCTCCAACTACAACCAATCAGGTCTTCATGTAGTGCAGGCCATCGAAAGTAAAATAACTATTATTGTTTAAATAACTATTATGGTGTATTTTGATGTATATATATTTATTTACAATTGTTTGATCTTTTGCTAATATGAATTATAATTTTTGTTCGCATAAATGCTCTATCACAGCTAATATTTTATTAAAATTTTATATTTTCCTTGAATTGGTGTGGTTAATTCTTCCGATAAAGCTTTTAATAAGCAATGATTCACCCGAGGAAATCAAGGCATGCCCACCATCCTTCCCCATGTCGTCCTAATTATGAGAGCCAGGGTTTGCCCTACCCAGCAAGAATGAAAATCCTATTTCAAGCTACGTAGGCTACATAATGGTGGATTTGTGGTTACCACGAGCTATGTTACGGCTTCCAAATTTCCTTATAAATCACACTTTAACACAAAAACGCGATGATTTAAATGGCGCTTTGGCAAAGGGCGATAAAATAATGGTGGTTTTAGGTAAATTTGTGTATTTTGGATATTTGTCCTTGGCTATCGCATTTTGAGCGAGGGGCATATTGACACAAGAACGCCACGGTATATTATCCAGTAATTATCAAAAATAGATATACATTATTGAGATATGAGTTGAAATAATGGTAGATTTGGTGGTTTAGAGTAAATCTTGCTTTCCCGTTTTGACATTTAATTAGCATACTATACTTTTATTTGGTGTGTTCTGTTAATTTTTTAATCCAGGACACTTCAATAATCCGGATCGCATAAGCAGTCATTCAGAGGCCCATCTCACCCAGTCAAAAACTTTTCTCATTACCACAAATAACAAAACACAATATGTAGCCACACTGGCAGTCAGATGTATTTACAGTCATCACTACAAACAGGGGCGTACATATCGATTTTGTTTATAGGGAGTGGGGGTGTTTACGAAAAAATGAAACCGACTGATACACAGGCCCCTAATACGAGTGACGCAGCTAGGGTGACCACCTTTGCTTGATCATATTGCGGGACATCATCTTTTAAAAAAAAAAACCGAGGCAGTATGCATAACAATGTTGATATAGTCACTTCACTTTTCGTCACAGCAACAATAGAAAATCAAACTATGAAATATTCACACAAGCATGTTTTGTATTCGTGTGTCATATGATATTTAACACGAATCTTTTAGGGTAATAATAGATAGCAACAATATAAATTCAAGTCATATAATATTTATATCTTTCATTTCAAACAAAATATATAAATTATTAATTTGTGCGACAGAACCGTTTGAAAGGGTGCGTTGGCGTTGAATTAAATTTTTAAGTTACAAAGCAATGACTGCCGAATTATCATCCATGTACATTAATCGTTTATCGCTAAAATTAAATCATGCCGAAGGTATAGTGAAACGTTTTGAGATTTTATTGCTTAAGTTTAATCATGCTAAATGTTGTGAAACTGATTGAGATTTTATAATAACTTAGTATAAAGGATGTTATGCTGGTTAAAGATGCATTATTTAAGAGCTGGGGGGCTGGATGACTGAATGGTTAGCACGTCTTGTTTTGTTAATAAATGTCTAATGGTTTATATAACATTTCAAGCCTAAAGAAAGACCTGCAAAAGGCAGATTTAGCTCTTGCATAATGTATGTTTAAACTATTATTGCAAGAACTGTCAGCTCTTTATCTAAATCTTACGTAATTCATCTTTTACTGTCCCTGGTTGATCATCACATACAAGATACCTTTACACACTCATCAGTTATGCATCAATGGACATAATATTTGAATTTTACTAATTCAGAGACGACAAAGCGAAAGCGAATGTAATTGATACTACATTAAACCAAGTATACATATCAAAATAAAGGAACAAGCAATTCTATACATCCGTTTTCTTCCAGTTTTTTGGGTTTTTTTTTATATATATAACATAGAAATACATAGCCTTCGGTCACGGCAAATGCCCCAGTAGTCAGCTAATGTTTTTTTTTGTTTATGCGATTCATAATGTAACAAATACTAGTATTAATTTTAATATTATTTGGGTAAGAGGGGGGGTTGGGTGGCCCCTTGGTTAACGCATGAATTTTAGATCATAAGTTCTGTCATTGAGTCAAGTGGCGTGGTTTCGATTCCCCGCTTGTACGTGACAAGGGATGGGGTCGCCATCTAACGTCGTCCACTGGTTTCCTCCCAAAGCTAAATACCTTATGTGCAAGCGAATTATACATGTAGTTTGTTTCGAGTGGGCGCAAAATTCCATTTATCCTTTTCTCTCTCTCCCTGGACTGTTTTGACAATAATTGACTTTGGTAGTTTATTGCATAGAAAAGGTCTAGCATAGGACAAAGCACGTTTTCCAAGTTGTAAGTTAACATTTGGAGATTTTAGAAGGTGTACTGTCTGAGAACTGAGATTTCTACTGGTAGTGCAGGTCTTTACAATATTAAAAAAAATATAATATGTGAATTAATTATATTCATTTAATTTAATTTAATTTAATTTTCTTTGAGTATGGTGACGGTCGTGGTGTTGTCGGTTGCGCTGCTGATAGTGGTTGTAGTTGTAGTGTGGGGTGTCAATGTTATATAAATTATATTCGTTGATTTTTGTCAATATTTTCCATTTCTTATGTTTATTACATTAAAATATATATTTATTTGAGTTAAACGTAATTGAAATGGGATTTAACGCCCGACTGGGCTAATGAAGACGGGCAAACTCCAGATTGTGCCCTATGATCGAAATTGTGTCCGGGACCGGTGCTACGGCCTATACTCTTATATCGATTCCAACTGCCAAGGATTCATTTGCGTCTCATCCGAATGAGTAAACGTTGACCAAGGCCCTCTGTCTCGCACCAGTGACAGGGGGGAACCACGCCGGTGGATTTTCAGAATGATGTACAGGGAAATGTCATCTACATGTTGGTACCAAAAGACCTTCTAAAGGAATTTGTGGTGGGTCTGTCAGTATTTTGACTAGAATAATACTCAAATAGACTATAGCGAGACTAGATTCACGCATATTACTGTATAGAAATCTTCCATGTGAGCAATTGCGGGACAGTTTGGTTGGTTTTCGGGACGCGGGACTTGGAAACATTTTGCGGGACTGTCCCGCGAAATGCGGGTCGGGTTGTCACCCTAGACGCAGCAGGAGCCGAGCACAGCAGGTGTGAGCTTTCTAGTTGGCAGTGGGGTGGGATTTTGTTTGGGGTGCTTAGGAAAAATGAAACCGACTGATGCACAGGCCCCTAATACGAGTGACGCAATCACGAGCCGAGCACAGCAGGTTTGAGCTTTCTAGCTGGAGGGGGGGGGGGGGCATGCTCCCTGGACTTTGAGGTAAAATTTTACAGAATTCTGATGGTCTGAAAACACTTGTAACATGAGTAAAACTGAGTACTACGCTTGGGAATTCATGTTATTTATTAAGAAATTTGCAAGAACGTACAAAGTACTGTGAATCTGTCACAACTTCTGAAAGTGACAATATTTAGGCCTACATCATTTACATGGACCCATATCTCGGACGATATATTGTTGTGATGAATATACATAAATTAGCAAAGATATGACTATGTCCTCATATTTTCATCAAGTTTGACAACTGATCGGCGGTTTTGTCAAGATAGATCGTGTGATTCGTGTCCGGCATTGAGGTGTTCCTGTTTCATTACTGAACCATACTAATTTGAGCTTTGAAAAACTGGCGCGTATTGTTTACCTCATTAATTCATTTGGTCACTGATGCATAAGTTTGCGACCGACTGCAGTTATTTCGCGCCCACTGAATACAAATATTAATATTTCCAACTATATTTTCGTCTTACAATTGTTTGGAAAAGACTGTGGTCTGAACCCATTCATGGGCTATTGATAGTTGTCTCTCTTGCATGGTCAGGATGATCGAGTCTGTAAAATTGAAAGTAGATATATATCTAACATGACAAGCAACTTGCAAGAAACTGATAGGATTGTAGAAAACTTGGCACAAATTGAGGAAGTCGCAGAAGATATTTTGGCTGATAAACAACACCTCATTGAATTTGATTTAAGAAGAAATAAAACAAGAGAAGCTCTTAGGTAAAATTCATTAATAAATCAACGTTCGACAGAGTTAGTGGAGTCAAGTGTCTATTTCCCCAATCTATCTATGCATAACAGAATCAAGATTATCTATATCCGAGATATAAATCTTGTATCGCTATCTATGCATAACAGAATCAAGATTATCTATATCCGAGATATAAATCTTGTATCGCCATGTGCAATCTCATTATAACCCCCCCTGTCTAATATTATAATCTGCTGGTGCAATACACACCATGTGGTCGGCAGATTCTGGTTATCAAGAAGTTGTGTAGACTGAAATTTGGTAGGCCTATGTGTGGTCATTGCTAGTCCTGCGGGAGTTGTGAAAGTGCAATATAGCGCTGTTTTCACGGCCAAAATGTTATGCACTGCAACTGGACATGTATTATAAATATAATTAGATACAGTTGACAAAGTCCTAATTTGTGCTTGACATAATATGTGTGAGTTCTGATTGATTTATCTAACAGTTCGTCTCTTTCAGATGTTTACAGAAAGACAAGACAGCCAAAAAATCATGGATGTGTGTTGGCAATATGTTTATAAAAATGCCTCGAGTGACTGCCATCAGTATGCTAGAAAAAGGTAACATGGTTTATTCTTTAACTTGCATAATATTTCAGGAGCCACAGTGGCTTTTGGTGCTGACTGACTCACTGGGGAAAGTGTATAGTTGTTTGGATGGGACAAAAATACTCTCATATACTGACAGAATTGTAATATGAGTACACCTGATAGCACTGTGTGGGGTATGCCCATCTTTATTAGTACATGTATATAGATGTCAGTAGAAAACTCTATCTGTGGAGGATGCCTGTGATTAAATTTTGTCATTAGTTCCATGAATATATTGGGAAATCTTACACAATAGACTGTATTCTTAGTTGCAATGGGGGGGCCAGTGGGCATGGCACTGGTTCTCTTACCAGAAAGTCACGTGTTTGCTCCTGGTTTTGGCCCATTCTGCACACCGAGAACTATCTACTTTTTCAGGACCACCATGTTCAAGGATAAGTACTGGTATTCTATTTTGCAATGCATTTCTAATCTGTTTTACATCATTTATACACACAAGGACTACATAAAAATTTTCAATTTTATTTATTGAAATCAGAGTAAATACTCCTCAAAATTCTAAAAGCATAGGTAGTGTTTTCAAATAAAATCATTGATTTAGGAATTAAAATGTTGTTCATGTCTACTCTCAAGAAGAGCTAATGGTAAACGCCAATTGGTATACTGTATGTTTGTACTGATGTAAGCGATCCGTTAACAGGAGTTGTCTCCTTTAAACCTTCTCTTGTCCCTCTTCACCATTTTTACGAAATGTAAACATGTTTTGTAAGATGCCATAAATATACCATCTTTATCCGTTGAGTGTTGTTGCTTATAGTTTATGTGTGGTACTGCTGACTGGCGTGGTGGCTGGAGTGATTTTGCTGTACCTACGAGCTCCCGGAAGTTCTCTTTGTTTATGAAACAACAAAAACAATCCAAGTCTGAACAGTCCTACACATCGTCATTTTTGACATAAGCGACCTGGTTTCTCCTCTAGCTGTGAATACACACAGCGTTTCACAATCATACAACAAGATGGCTAATAATCGTGCTCCGAAACAGTGGACACTAACCAAACACGAAACAATCACGTCATATGAAGCATGGCGACAAAACTTACAGTACAGGTTATCTCTAGATCCAAATTTTGCCGCATATCTCATCGATGGCGTCAAATGGGGTAACGCGTCTAATAATACTCCCTTGCGGGGCTTCCGTGATGATGGTCGTGATGTTCCAGAGAATAACCGACGTACTGCACAACAGAAAGTGACCCACCTTGAGTTGATGCTCGGACAGATCGCTAATTTTTGTCCCATTATTTCCCGTAATACAATTGTTAAAAACTCGACTTCCGTATCAGCTATTTGGCAAGCTATTCGCCTACATTATGGTTTACAATCTACAGGCAGTCATTACCTGGACTTTAACTATATTCATCTCCAACCAGATGAGCGACCTGAGGACCTTTTCCAACGATTAATGTCCTTTATTGAAGACAATCTACTTAAACGTAATGGTCACATTTCTCACCATGGTGAAGATCCCGCAGTCGACGGAGAATTAACACCATCTTTACAGAACATAGTTGTACTAACTTGGCTTCAACGTATACATCCAGACTTACCACAGTTGGTGAAGCAACAATATGGTACCGAATTGCGCTCTCGCACACTAGCATCTCTTAAACCTGAGATCTCTCTAGCTCTTGACTCACTGTTAGATGAAGTACACGCCTCGGTCGATGCTAAAGTGCTACAATCAGCTACTAGCCAATTACTTCGACAGCGCTATACCCCAGATCCTGCTAAGAGTGACAGATTTAAGCCTAGATCGTGCCCTCTCTGCATACAAGCCAATCGCCAAAAGACTCAACATTACCTTAGTACCTGCCCTTTCTTACCTGCAGATGACAAAAAATTTCCCAATCGTGCCCGTCAAACTACTTGCCTGGATGATGGTGATCTCGACTTAACCGATGGTTTACCTACACACCCGGAGGACGATGATACATCAACGACCCATCGTGTTTCCGCTTGTCGTGTTAGTACCAAACAGTCCCCTCATTTTAAAGCGTTTAATAAACATCATGACTGTAAACGATGTATCTGTTCGCCCAGCCAAGCATCAAGTTACAATCAAAGACTCGGATACTATTGTATATGGGTCATCAAAGGCACCATCTCAGTACCATTCCATCCGGCGTACACAGGCTTCTGTTATTCGCTCTCCAGCTTCAGCGACAATTATTTGGCCTGGTGATTACCTGGAAGTTTCTGCTCCACCCGACTATCACCCTGACTGTATCTTGGCTGTCGAAGCTCGTTCCGATTGCCCAAGCTCACATAGTTTGAAACTCTCCCAGATGTGGCCACAGCCCTCCATCTTAGAGTCTATTGCTGGTAAGGTGAGAATACTTAATACCACAGATCAACCCAGAACCATTCAGCGCAATGAACACTTCTGTCAGGTTCGACTGGTCACTGATTTCCCAACAAATGCTGATCACTGTGATACTCCAGCACCAAGTTCTGTTCCCTCTAAGCTTGGTCCAGGCTTATTTTATTCTGATAAAGTAGCTCTCGATCCCGATCTTATATTATCGTCAACAACTAGACTAGAAGCTTTCAAAAACTTACTCCGTCAGTACGATACCGTATTTGATCCGGATATATCTGGTTACAACGGTGCAGTTGGTCCCTTTAAAGCCACTGTCAACATGGGTCCAGTTCAGCCTCCACAACGCAAAGGTCGTGTACCCCAGTACTAAAGGGACAAACTTGTTGAACTTCAAACATGTTTTGATGTATTAGAAACAGCAGGCGTATTTAAACGTCCAGAAGATATCAACATCACTGCTGAGTACCTTTATCCCTCCTTCCTCGTTAAGAAGCCATCTGGAGGTTTCCGCTTAGTCACTGCCTTCGCTGATGTTGGAAGATATAGTAAACCACAGCCTTCACTTTTGCCTGATGTTGATTGCAGTACATTATTGTTTTGGATCTGACAAGTACCTTCTACCAGATTCCTTTGTCCAGAGATTAAATGAAATATTGTTGTGTAGCAATGCCCTTTCGTGGGGTACGTGTTTACACACGCTCTGCCATGGGTATGCCCGGTTCGGAAACAGCCCTTGAAGAACTGATGTGCCGTGTTTTGGGTGACCAACTACAGGCTGGCACAGTTGCTAAGCTTGCTCATGATCTGTACATAGGAGGTAATTCACCAGAGGAGCTTATGACTAATTTTACAGAGACGTTGAATGCATTACACACATGTAACCTCAAGTTATCGCCTTTGAAAACTGTCATTTGTCCGAAAACCACTACCATTTTAGCTTGGGTATGGTCACAAGGTTCCATCCATGCCAGCCCTCATCGCATATCTGCTCTTTCAACATACTCACCACCAGACACCGTTCGTGGTCTCCGATCATTTATAGGGGCTTATAAGGTTTTAGCATGTGTCTTACCTCACTGTTCTGACTTGATAAATCCATTGGATATGGCCATTGAAGGGCAACAAACAAAAGAAAAGGTCAACTGGACAGACGAGCTACATCATTCCTTCTCTCATGCCAAGAAGTCTCTCATCACCAATACCACCATACTCCTACCCAGACCATCAGACCTACTGTGGATTGTCACTGATGGTTCAGTTACAAGGCATGGGATTGGAGCAACACTTTATGTTAGCCGCAACAACAAAATATCCCTTGTGGGATTCTTTAGCTCCAAACTACGCCAACATCAGGTTACGTGGTTACCGTGTGAAATCGAAGCATTGTGTATTGCTGCAGCCATTAAACACTTTAGCCCTTTCATAATACAGTCTCACCACCAGACCTGTGTTCTCACCGACAGTAAACCATGTGTCCAGGTTATATCCAAGCTTTGTCGCGGTGAATTTTCTTCCATGTACATATCCGCGTAGATGCGGCTTCTGGTTTTATTGCTCTTAAGAATGATGCCATACTACAAATCTGTGCATCGATATTGATGTCAGCCGCATTAAAAACCCCAACAAAAATCCTGTTGCGGAAAGGGCAATTGCGGAACTCGAGGAGGAGCTGTTGCGTCAAGAACCTGGTGGTGGACCAGTATCACCTATAGGCCTTTCCATCGCAACTGCTCAGTTGAATTCTAGAATTAGAAGTAGAGGTTTATCTGCTCGTGAAATCTTTACACAAAGGTGCCAGTTTACACACACACAGCTTCCTGTCTCAGATCGTGACCTTATAGTCGAACAACATGCACAGCGATTACGTAATCATGGATATAGTGAGACTTCCAAGTAATCATGTCGCAGTTGGTTTACCTGCGCTCAGATGGTAATAAAAACAAGGCTCGTGATCGATATCTTGTAACTAGCCTTGATGGTAATTGGTGCTTCGTCAGGAAATTCTCAGGATTCCAGTTACGTTCCTCAACTTACAAGGTGAGAACATCAGAATGTTATATCGTACTCAACTACTTTGTTGAAAACAACTGCTTTCCCTTACGTCACAATGGAAATAGTAATGACTTTGATGAATTGGATGAAGTCCCTACTCAGATAGAATGCGATACGAATACGCTCACAGAGCCTGAGGAACCACCTGCTCTACCAGTGATACCACCTGTGTTAATCACCCCGGCTTCCCCATTGAAGTCTAATTCGAGCTTATCCACATCAGTGGCAACGTCATCATCATCATCCACCCAGCCGACAGTCAATACGTCCACAGACACCCGACCTACACGTGTACACAAGCAACCCACATATTTACAAGACTATGTGACGTAAAATTCTCAGTCGTCACATTGTGTTCACCGGATCATATTAAAGCTACAGCTTAATCTCTATTTTATAGGACATTCAGTTTAGACTTAATCTTTGTATTTCCATTTTATTTCCTTTCAAAAAACCCAAAAAAAACAGAAGTTACGCCAGTTGGTATACTATATTTTTGTAGTGATGTAAGCGATCCGTTAACAGGAGTTGTCTCCCTTAAACCTTCTCTTGTCCCTCTCCACCATTTTTACGAAATGTAAACATGTTTTGTAAGATGCCATAATATACCATCTTTATCCGTTGGGTGTTGTTGCTTATAGTTTAAGTGTGGTACTGCGTAGCCAGTTCCTTAGGATTTTTTCATCCTGGTTTCACTATCTGAGTGGCATCCTGGAAAGGTAAAGCACCTAGTCCTCCAGATATGCAAAAACCTGAGGCCCATCTGTGTAACCATTGAAGTGCACATTAAATAACCCTTGACAGGTAGTATATGGTAAAATGTCCCCTATAGCACACTGTATGGCTTATACTGTCTTTATTCACACGGTTGGTGTAGAAAAAAACAACATTAAATCCCAGTTCATTTATTTAGTTCTTAAATGGCAATGGCTATTACATTATCAATTTTCATTGACTAAATACACAGGAGGGCTTTTGACAACACCAACTTGGCAAAGAAGGCATAATATGGCAGCATTGTTTCTGTAACGACATATTACTGTTTTATATTTCAGATTTTAGTCAGTTAGAAAATGAAATTAAAGATACACGGAATGAACTGAAACCAAAAGTAGATAAATTACGTGATTTACAAAATCAAGACGGTGTAAAAGGTTTTGGACTACAGCCTTTAAATAGAGAAGAAGTTAAAGCAGTTGAAAGACTTTTATGAGATTCTTTTAAGATGATTATTCGAACCTTAAAACTTTATGTAAATATTGTGTGCTTATATAGTAGCCTAAAAATTTGTTACAAAAATAAAATGTTATTCATATAAAAATTCTAGCCTTAATAAGGCCACAAAAAATAAGAAAACTGGTGATTGTCTGACCGGAGAAATCCAGCTAAAATATGAAATTGTCACAATGGCCTTCCGTCAAACTTTCTTTGTGAACGCGCTACACACTATAGATCTTTTTTTTCAAATTGCAGTGATTTTTTTAAAACTTGGTGAGATTTTCCATTGATGTATAAGGAAAACCCCTATTAAATATGAAACAAGCCAACAGTGAGGCTGATGTCCCCACCGAAATCCCGAAATAAATAGATGACACATATTAATTAATTGCACGTTTATCTTTTTCAAAAGTATCGAGCAATCAAACTGATTATCAACTATACACTAAGTTTCATCTCTCTCTATCAGATAGAATTAACCTAACAAACATCAACATCAAGTTTAAACATTCTACCTCAATTAAAAGCAGAGTTGTTATGTTCCAAAGTCTTGACCAATCAAATTGCTTATCGCTCTGCTTACCCTCAGGAGAAAATGTTCATTATCGAACTTAGTCAAGGTATTGATGTGATGAAACTATACACCAAGTTTCATCACTCTCACTTAATCAGAACTAAAGTTATCATGTCCCAAAGCATAAACCAATCAAACTGCTTATCTCTGCTTACCCTAAGAAGAAAATGCTCATCTTCGAACTCCATCAAGGCATCGACCTAATAAACACCTAAACCAAGTTTGAAAATTCTAGCTCAATTAGAAGGAGAGTTATTGTGTCCCAAAAAGTGTGACGGACAGACAGACAGACAAACCCATTTTAATAGTCCCCTGCTTTCTTTGAAAGGCGGGGGACAAATATTAGAATCATAAATGTGTTTCATACAGTTATTTCCATGTGGTCGTATAAAAATGAACAAGAGTACAACATTGATTTGCCGTCCATTTAGTATAGATACAATGTGTTTAAAATACAGATCTGTATTTCGTTTCATTTTTTTATACTTTCGATGGCCTCTACTATTTGAAGATCTGACCAGTTGTAGTGGGAGGTCGCATCAGGGGTTATGCGTGCGGCTTTTGACCCCATGACGTCAGAAATTTGATGTTTCTAGTAGGATACCCACAGTTCCTTGCATCGCACGCCAAGAACTCGCTGCAACAGACCGTTTCATTGGCTAATCCCTACATTCATCAACCGGAATGCAGGTTATATAACAACTCTTCCAGATCCTAGTGTTGTAAAGCAAGTAAAACAAAATTTTGAACTATAAAAAACGAAACGAAATAGGATCTGTGTTTTAATCAGATTTGTATAGATAACAAAAGTTAGTTGACTATGTCCTCAACTGAGAAGTGGTATCGGGTGTTCTAGAAGCATACCATTTAGTAGGCTATACTCTGTACCAATATTTACAAAACATAATCTTGTGGCAAGGGAAATAACTCTCAAATAATAACCATTCAATGGCCAGTTGGCATAGACCATGAATAAAAAAGGGAGAATTTATTACAAGTATAATTGAGCCATAAATGCTTTAAGCATCCCACCCCTCCCAATTAATAAACCAATCTGGTAAAAATTGGTATTTTTCATTTTCCGTTCTTTGACAAACAACATCATGCCCTGGACTCCATTCAAGTATGTGTACTATCCTGCAACAATAAAGACATTAGTATAAATTAACAATTCCACTCCAAATAGGACCACAAAATGGTGTAGGTCATTTTAAAACTAAATGGTGACTTTTATGTGAATGATGACAGATACCACACCAAAGTAGACTTATGTAGGCACATTATACAGTGACAAAATTTGATGGAATAGAATTTCAAGAAACAAAACATTTTATAATCAAAATATACTTTGGGGTACTTTAACTTTAAAATAAACTATCAATGGAAATTAAAAATTCATTTAAGTGTAATATATTACAGACAATACAGTACAAATTTGTGAGGGGAAGACAGTTGGGTGGGAAAGATATATTACAGGGGCGACAAATTTACAATGGAGGCTGGGGGAGATATTTAAGTGTATATATTACAGACAATACAGTACAAATTTGTGAGGGGAAGACAGTTGGGTGGGAAAGATATATTACAGGGGCGACAAATTTACAATGGAGGCTGGGGGAGATATAACACAGCTGAGTGTGGGATGGGCATTTTTACATAAAAAGGGTATACATTCTTTAGATTTACATATATACATTGGAGGGTGGTAAAGAAATAATACATGGGTGGGGGAGGGCATTATTTACAATAAAACAGGATTGGGGAGGCAATATTTGCAATTTAGGAATTGGAATGATATAATACTCACTTTGGATTATCAGTATTAATTGCACTTTTAACAAAGTTTAAAAATTGATCGAGGAAATTAAAACACACATTTGGCTTCCATGGATTATACAAATCCTGAAAGTAAATTAAATATCTGATGAAAACTCTAATTCTAACATGTTATAAGATACATAATATCCAACTTGATGACATTATTCTTAAACATTATAATAATATGTCCATTTGTAAATTTTAAAACCACGAACGTGAGAATGGCATAATATGCATTCAAAATGGAGTCTTCCAGTGATTACCCATCTATCTAATAATTTTAATATATACTTGGGTAAACTTGGCAGATATAACAAGTCAACAGTAACAATGAGGTCCCCCATCTCAAAATATATACATGTAGATGACACTCATTAATTACTTTTATATATATATTTTTTAATAAAGCATCAAGCTCTACCCCAAGTTTCATCACTCTCACTCAACTAGAATCAAGTGTTATGATCCAAAGCATCAACAAATCAAATTAGTTATCTCTGTTTAGCCGCAGCAAGCAGAATAATGCTCATCATCGAACTCTGACAAGACTTAATGAACATTCTGCCTCAGTGAGAAGAAGAATTATTTTGTCAAAAGATGTAATGAACAGCGGGATAGATAAACCCATTTTAATAGTCTCCTGAATTGGTATCAACTTTGATGGGTCATAAGATCTTTTCAAAGAAGAGTAGTGTGCTGAACATCAAAAACTTTGGAACTGACCATCTGTAAATCATGTTAAGTGTACCGGTGCTTATCTCAATCAAAGAAAATATAACGTCAATTCACAAGGATCAGAATAATAACAAACGGTTGCCATGCAAGATACGCCCACATTTTGCAAGAGATGGACAGAGAACAAGCTCAAAAAAAGAAGTGATTTTTTCGTACAATCAAGGGCCATAATTCAGGAAGTTATGATCCAATATGTGCGAATATCGAAAGGAACCAAGATCTTTGGGTTATAAATATGTATTTCAAGTTTCATCAAAATCGGATCAAAATTGTGACCTCTATAGGGTCCACAACCTTGATATACCATATTTTTACGCTATTTGAGAACGAACGGCGGCCATTTTGTCTGTCAATTTTGGGCCAATTTTCACGAAATTCAAACTCAGTCGACCCTAGGGTGTAACGGTGATATAATAATACGTTTTTTTATATCGGATAAAAATTATGACCTCTATAGGGTCCACAAGCTAAAAACGCGATTTTTCGTACAATCAGGGGCCATAATATCGAAAGGATCCAAGATTTTTGGGTTATAAACTTACATTTCAAGTTTCAACAAAATCGGATAAAAATTGTGACCTCTTTAGTGTCCACAAACTTGACATATCATATTGTTACGCTATTTGAGAACGAACGGCGGCCATTTTGTCTGTCAATTTTGGGCCGATTTTCACGAAATTCACTGTCAGTCATCCTTAGGGTGTAACGGTGATATAATAATACGGGTTTTTAAATCGGATAAAAATTATGACTTCTACAGGGTACACAAGCTAAAAACGCGATTTTTCGTACAATCAGGGGCCATAATTCAGGAAGTTACAGTCCAATATGCGCGAATATTGAAAGGAACCGAGATCTTTGGGTTATAAACTTACATTTCAAGTTTTAACAAAATCGGATAAAAATTGTGACCTCTATAGGGTCCACAACCTGGATATACCATATTTTTAAGCTATTTGAGAACGAACGGCGGCCATTTTGTCTGTCAATTTTGGGCCGATTTTCACGAAATTCGAACTCAGTCGTCCTTAGGGTGTAACGGTGATATAATAATATGGTTTTTTAAATCGGATAAAAATTATGACTTCTATAGGGTCCACAAGCTAAAAACGTGATGTTTCGTACAATCAGGGGCCATAATTCAGGAAGTTACGGTCCGATATGCACGAATATCGAAAGGAACCGAGATCTTTGGGTTATAAACTTACATTTCAAGTTTCAACAAAATCGGATAAAAATTGTGACCTCTATAGGGTCCACAAGCTAAAAACGTGATTTTTCGTACAAACAGGGGCCATAATCCATGAAGTTTCGATCCGATACATGCCAATATCGAAAGCAGCCAAGATTTTTTTGGGATAAAGCTATATTTCAAGTTTCGTCAAAATCGGACAAGAATTGTAACCTGTAGAGAGTCCACAAACGGACGGACGGACAGGGGCGACGACAATATACGTCCACATGAAAATGTGGGCGTATAAAAACGGAATACAGTATCTAAATTACTTTAGCTTCATCTGGTATTTTCTGTGTCTTAAATTCATCTAAAGAATGAACGATGCCCTGATCATCTCGATAACCACAAACTATTTTACTAATGCCAACTAGATAACTCTGAGCCCACCATTTGATTAATTTAAATCTGAAATATAGAAGAAAAAAAAAAGATATATCATGTCCATAGTAATAGTAAGGCAGAACATCTGGCTTTCCAACCACAAAAACATTTCCCTTCCAGTCATAGCAGAGAGCACATACAGAGATATTGTTATTTGCTAGCAAGACACTTTCCAACTGAACTTTATGTGTGTGTGTGTGTGTGTCACACTGTGTGATATATAAAACAAAGGAAAAACAGTGTGAGTTTTGTCAAGTTGTGGTCATGAACAGCTGATTCTATTCAAGAAGAGAATAGAATGCAAACACTCTGATTAGACAATGTATGGTGTTAGCACAACCGGGTATAAGTACATTTATACATGTATACACCATTTAAAGTTGTTGATTATCATTTGAAGGGTTTTAAATCCCTTGAAAACTACAACAGCAATCAATAGTGTGAAAGTTGAATTTTAAAAAAAATATCAGTACAATAATGATTCCATTTCATTCTATATTCACAAATATATGATGAATGGAAAATTTCTTAACATCCGGCATCCTCCGCAGACAAAATTGCAATGGGCCTCTCTATAATTCGACTGAATTCAAATCATGTGATTATCTAGCTGTTATTGATATTTGGTTATTTGGGGAGGGAGTGGATGTAATCAATTTGAGTACATTTCAGGGTGGATTAATCCTTAAAAAATTAGAGATTGTCCGAAAAATGCAAATGAAGACCACCAACTTTAGGTTTGCTTATTACCTTCTGAAATTAATATCTTGGTTTCTAGTCTCTATTTGACGTGTAGTTTTATACTCGACATATTTATTACTGTTATTTATAGTGTTATCTATCCCATCAACTTCACCACCATAAACTGAAATAAACAAGAAATACAAATTCTTATCATACATACTATCTACCACTGATGCTATTTTGCCTGTATAACCTGGACATGTCCTTTGCTATTTTCCAAATGTCCAACCAGGAGTATGCCCAATCGGACATCAAGATATGGTGAATAATATTCAAAATTTAAAAATTAATTGACTGTACTGAGTCTGACTATATAACTACTACTCATCTTGAATATCAGTGTCTACTGATATTTCATAAATGTAATTATTAATAATTCTAATGGATGGGGTCCACCATATTTAGTGGATTAGACAATGACCGCTGTGCGCATTAAACACTAATATAGACAAGCAAGCCAAAATCTTCTGGTAATGTATGACGTCACACATGAGACTGTCGATAAAAGTACTGTAAATCTAGACTTTGTTTATTATAAAGGCAATGGTACTTTACAGTCAAGAATATGAACTGCGGTGGAATTTCCATCTAACAATAGTCCCGAAATGACCTAGTTTGTGTCGAGTGGACGTTAAACCCCATTTCTCTCTCTCTCTTTCCATCTAACAACGATCAGCAATTTATGGCTATTTCTTATCAAAACTTCAAACATTCATAACTTAGCTCAGAATAAAGGAATTTGACTGAAATTTTCAATATATTCATTTTTATATGCCCACATTGAAATGTGGTCATATATTGTTCATTTATCTGTTGTAGTAGAAACAGCCAAACTCTTTCTACAAATCTTGCATAATGCATTTTTAAATGTTATTACCTAGTGAATTTTTGTTTAACCTTGAACGTACAACAGAACAGAATCCTTCGTTATTATTAACAGGTCTAGATGTATCAGGTTTACCCCCTTCTTTATCTGTAAAATACATGAAAACAATTAAATAGTCAATTGACCGACACAAAACAATATCTTGCTAGAATTTTAAACTATTGTCATTCAACGTCTCGAGAAAAACATTGGAATAGTTCACCTCTTTTACCAATTAAAGATACATTATGGGAGATTCGATAACGAGTTGGCAGTTCTCACTATAATAGTTATAAACTAGATAATGTAAAGACAATTTGCTGAAAATTTCATTCAAATTGATCCACTATGAACCGAGAACTAAGTGAATGAAATTTCTGCCTAGCCTCGGTCATCATTACTAAAGTCAGTACGATAAACAGCATAGTCTCGATTATCCATTTAATCGTTTAATTGAGAAGGAAAGTTATGCAGTAAATCAGCTCACAATCCACTTAAGATCGCAGGCTAGCGATGCCATCTACAGTTGATTATGGTCTGGATAAGTTAATTAATGTTTAATTAATAATTTAGATAACATTTCAGGCCTAAAGAAAGACCTGCAATAGACAGATTTAGCTCTTGCATAATGTATGTTTAATTAGCCATTTACACTTGGCCTCAATAAAGGATACTGTAACAGGAGTGTCTCTTGCCTAAATAAAATCCAAGAAGTTTTAACCCATTTAAATTGTCTGTTCCAGAACTTTTATAGGCTGAGTAATGTGTTGAACTCTGGAGGAAAAGAAATGTCTGCACTATCTCAGCTAATGAAAACAGGCATGTGTATGCCATGGAGTGTGCTATAAGAAAATTTTGGCTGGATGACAGCAGCACTACAGCCACCATCATTTCCATTACCAACTTTAAGGGACAGTCGGTTCTTCATTCCAGTTTGAATGACAATTAGACATATGCCATGCAGTGTGCTATATTTGGGAAATTTTCTCTGAACAGATGCACTATGCATTGTCATAGGTAATCAATCACAGGACCTCAGTTTTTCATCCCAATCGGACCACTAGATGTGGACACTTTCCATGCCATGACCTTTGTCCTGCACCACTGACAAGGGGAAACCAAGCTAGAAAATCCTGGGGATCTTTCTCCGACAACACTGGCGTCAAACCTCTGAGAGCGAGATAGAGACTTATTCACTGTGTGATCTCACCTCCCCGAATCAAATTTTTTCGGTGAACACTGGAACAGAACTTGTGACTCTTGATTAGTAAAGAGATCGCATGGCTCCAAATACTTACCAGATGTTACATATTGTTCAAACTTCCAACCCCAATAACACATTTCTTCTTGTCTTTCTGTTACTTTAGCTAGTTGCTTCTTTTTCTCCTCTGTTTCAAAATCACACAGAAAATATGTTCCTCTATATAAAATAACAGCAATCATCCATCCGTCCCTATTTTCATATGGTGAACATAGCAACTTGGTTAATAAGCCTCGCCAACATACGAAGTCTGTGGATAAACTGAAAATTAATTGATAATGAGTACATGTATAATGGAATTATGATGTTGACAATTATTAATTTCATAAATGCAGAGAGATAGAATAATGGAGTTTTAACATCCACTCAACAAATCATGTTATTTCGGGACAAACATGTTGTGCATTGTAATTTCTATAAATTTGTATGCAAAGATTTTAGGCGGTGGGAGAAAACCAGAGGACCCAGGGATTGAAACTATGTCCCTTGATTCAATGAATGACTTTATGATTTAAAGTACACAGACTTTTTCGGCCTACTTCTCCAGGTGATTAAAGATATGCTGTTGAAACGATAACTTATATAAAGTATTAACACATTCCATCAATCAAATGTATTGATTAGCCATGTGTGTGTGTGTGTTAACTGATTTATTTAATATCCGCTTTCACTGTGGTGATATTATGGACCCTAAGGTCCATGGTGTTATCACACACACTTCTATGATTTATTGATTTTTATACCTAGATAACTTTATTTGATGGCCACTTTCTTTAGAAACAAAGGCTCTTGGTTCACTTATTACCCATCGCAACAGGTCATCTATATATTCCAACTTAGATTCATCTTTTTTAATCATTTCCTTGAAGCCCTTCCTCAGATTAAAATTCACAGACTTATTTGGATAGTGTACAACATATTTCAACTGCCTTTTATCCGGATGATATTGTCTGTTTGAATCTTGTGAGAAGCTGCCAACCTCTCGCGGTTCTCTAAATTGTGGAAAGTCTTTGTCAAATTGGTGAGGTCCCTTAACAGAGAGACTTTGTGGAGGGGAATCTTTAGAAGCCATAGTGTGTAATCTTGCTACTTTCACTTTTGCCCTTTCGGTTAATTGGTCGGTTTCTTCACTGTTTGCACGTTTCCGCTTTTGGTCGCTCATGATGAAGATGAAAGTATTGTTATCAAACTATGTCTATGATTAGTGCATGTTTAATTCCTTGTTTATTATTACACATAAAGGTGATAAATTTCACAGTATTATTATTTCAAAAACATCTGTCTTTCTTTCAAGTTTCCAAGTTTCATAAACTCGCGACACTTCCTGTTTACATCGGAAGTTTACTTGTGAAGGGGAGGACAAAATTAACCAATCAACAGCTAGTTAAATATAGAATCAATATTTCATACTGTGTATAATCTGGAACAAATGGACAATATATATTTTAATACAGACTCAACGGTATTCATAGTTATCCATAAGCCTTGTTAAGATAATATGATGACAATTTTTGTGTTTAATTATTTATCTTAATTTGAAAATAAGCAATTTATTTAATTAATTTTGGTTCGTTTTATTACAATTTGTAAATTTGAATTGGACAGTAAGACAGGAAGCGGTCGACGTCACACGACGAAAAATGCTGTAGGCTTAAAGGTAGAAACAATGGTTTCGTCATTTTGCTTTTCTTCAGCGCGTCTTTGCAGTGTAATTATTGGAATGGAGACGAACGCATCTTAAATAAATAGAAGAATAAAGAAGCATATTTGTAAGATTAAAAAACAAATTCAAAATTTATAAGGAGGACAAAAAGAAGATTTGAAGATGATGTAGGCAAATAATTGTCGGATAAAAAAAGCCATAATTTCAATTCAATTGTATAAGAAATGTATTTTTTAAAACCTGACTGTCACTGTGACCTTACTTAATTGATTTCAGGCTAAATGTTCGCTTCCAGCTATAGGGTGATATCGTAGAAAAGTGTTGCTGTGAATGTTTGAATTTGTAGTTTGTACTTACATTACTTATAAAGATATAAAGCTTATTTATTTTAATTTATAATTTCCACAACATTTGGAATTTCCAGAGATATCTTTTTTGTACTCCACTACTAACATCCCATTGCAACCCTTCATAAGAGTATTTCTAAATTACCTATGGCTATGACACAATTACCAACTAACATACATCGATAGCCAATACATTTTTGTTCATAAAAATGTGCAAAAATAATGTAATATTTGAAGATAAAACTGTGTTTCACAATATTTAAAATGTAATGTGATTGTCCTGCTGTAAACGTGTTTTCGGCAATCTGATTACCTTTAAACATGGCTGCTCAAACCAATCACATGATTTTGCCATTGATATCTTTTAAATTGCCATGCTCTGCCTTTTGTTTGTTAGTCACACGACAGAGCCATTTTGAGTTATCTTGTCTATAATCATAAGAAGATATAGAGCGATTCTCTTTTTGTGTGTTGATAAACATGCATACCTGACTATGGTAAGCGTGCATCTTTAAAAAAAACTTCTGGGCAGCTTACAGTGTCGTTTTATTATTTTAGATTCTGTTCAGAATAAAATACATGATTGGGATTCACTTTCTTATGAATACAATGTATGGTTATTCCTTTTTTGTTTAGGTAATTTAAAAAATATATAATGGCAAGCAGAAAAAGAAGTTTATTGCCTGATGTATATAAACAGAAGAGAAGATGTCTAATTCCTGTCAATAAGGATGTTAGTGGAGAGTTGGTGAATGAGCATGGTTAGTGAATAACTATGTACACAGATCTACTGGCCTGTCCAGCACCTGGTGGCTGGATGAGCAATGTGCTAGCTTACTAACTAGGAGATCCAGGGTTGATCTCTGTCTTGTCCTGGTAAGGTATAAGGTCTAGTCCTTTGAATGGAACAAAAATCAAAAATCCTGCATATATGTTGGTCTGCACGTAAAAGAACCCTTGACAATTTGAATTCAGTTAATGTCTGGGCAAAATTTTCCTCGTAAATGTAGTCATAGTACATTGTATGGCGTATAGGGCCTTATATCCCTTTCATTTATTTCAAGTCTTGACAACCCCCTTCCCCCTTTTGTATTCTTGAATGACAAACTGTTATAGCCAATACTATAACCTGGACTAGGACAATATAATGGCACTAATCACATGGTCTATCAAAAAATAAACAGAATTGTCAGGCAACAGATATGCTCCCACCGTTTCCTTTTTTAGGCCTACTGCTATATTTTCAGAGCTAATTGTTTTCTATTGTTTTTCAGCCTGGGATGTACCAACAGATACTAAAGCATCCCTGTTATTTCTGAAAATAAGTTTTCCACAAGAGAAGTTTGAAGATCGTATTCCACCTATAGTCATGAAGCATCAGTTATACAGTATTATACATAATCGCACAATTGTTGATAAACATGTGGTATGTTTTTATATCGGTTTATTATTCTGAGGAAACAAAGTCCAAACCGGTTTTGTTTTATGAAATTTATGGAACATGTCTCATTATGAATAACTTGAGTCTTTCACTTTATATAGAATATGTGTTTAATTAGTTAAGCAACTAGTACTGTCAGAAAACTGGGTGTTTCACCTACCAGCATATAGAATACCTTTGATATTTTGTATAATCTAAACGAAATATGAAAGACGTTCAAGACTCAAAACTCGAACAACCAAACTGGTAGGAAATGTATGCCTTTCGATTTGACCATAGTTTTCCTGATAGCTATCTTACGGAATTCTCTAAATTATGAATACTTTTTTTTGCTAAATTCTTTAATGAAAAAAATAGAAATAACTGAGTATTTTGGACAGTTTTGCAAATAATTTGTGAGAGTATTATATGATTCAAAATGTTTTGTAGGCTATTGTGAAAATATTTAAAGAGGCATTATGGAATATTAGATAAAAAGATGACAGATAAGAACTAGATAATGTAAAGGGAATATGCTGCAAATTTCAGTCAAATTTCTTCACTCTGAACCAAGATATTAGCATTTGAATTTTAGGCCTAGCCTCGATCATCATTAATAGTCGACACAATAAAAAACATAGTTTCGATTATCCTACTTTGGATTAAATCATCAGTGAGCATTGAGCAGCAAATCAAATTCAAATCTAGTGAAAATCTGACACATAAGATAGCATCGATAGCTGATTAAGGTCCATTCATGTTAATAAATGTCTAATTAATAGTTTATATAACATTTCAGGCCCAAAGAAAGACCTGCAATAGGCAGATTTAGCGATTGCATAATGTATGTTTAAAGAAATCAAATATTGTTCCTGAAATTTTTTTTGATTTGGGAGTGTTGCTCTCTCAGTGAATAAACAGGAGGTCCGGTCCGGGGTTTGGTCCAGTCGTGATTGGGAAAGTTCCCCAGAATTTTTCAGCCTGGTTTCTTCTTGTCAGTTGGGGCAAGACGGAGAGTTTTACTTTCTTATATAATTTATTTATCTTTTGTAAGTGTGCCAGAATTTAATGTTTTATTAAAACTTGATACAGAATGATCTGAGAGAAAGTGGAGATGTGAAGTTATTTCGTCTAGGAGCCGACGCAGATGAATCATGTATAGTATTTACAGAAGATTATCAGAGGCATTGTTTACGGGTTATGGCAGATTTAAAGATAGATCAAGCCATTATAGGTATAATACAAAATTCATATTAAGAATGTTTTATAGATTAAATAACTTTGGAGAGTTAATAGGGTGGGGTGGCCGAATGGTTTAATGTCTGTCATTGACACTAGTGGCATAGTTTTGATTCCCTACTTGGACTTGGCCAGTAATAGGGTCTCGTGATCAACCTTGTGGGTTTTTACGGATCCTCCAGTTTACTCCCACTGTTCAAGATCTCTACATGAAAGTGAATTATTGAAATAAAATTGAATGGCCTAGTTTGTGTTGAGTAGAGTTAAACTCCATTTCTCTCTCTCGCTCTCTCTCTCTCTATCTATCTACACTTAAACTTGTTTAAGAGGATTAAATTAAGGTAGATAATACATAGACTATATTCTGTTAAAATTTTTAACCTTAAAACTTAGATACAACTTCTGCCTTCATTAGCCATGTTGGTGCAGAAAAGAAGGTTGACTTATTCATTTCCATAATTGATGTAGACCACATAATCTGTGTGGTTTAAATTGATGGAATGATTCTGTTATTAATCTTTAGTAATAACAACAATTGTTGTCTTTATCATTGATTAAAGGATTCTGCTAGTTTAGACTGTTGGTTATATGAGGATTATTTACCTTATAGAATATAATTAGACTCCAAACAAAAACATTAATGGCAATTGTGTTTCATATGGAATTGGTCTAATAGTAATAAGATTAACTGATTATTTTTGTATTCAGCTAATAGTCTCTTTAATTAATGTTTATCTTTATTTATTTCAGATAAGTTTACAGAGACAATAGTTAAAAAATGTAAAGATATTAGTTTAGATAAAGAAACATTAATAAATACATACTTATTTACAGACAAAGAAATCACGTAAGTATTTTAATAAGCTTATTGTAAGTAATGAATAAATAAGACATGCTCAGATTTATATTTTAATTTTTTTCATTCACAAAATAGTCCTTGTTACTATTGTTCAAAGACATTGGCTTTAGGGGCTTCAGCCCAGGGACCTTCGCCAGCTGAGGTTCTCCATAGATTAGGTGAAAAGTTGTATGTGCTGAATCAAAGTATAAGTACTCTAAACTATCTATTTAAAAAAGGGGTTCAATAAATAATGTACATATCTGAAGTAAACAATCAACGGAAAAAAAACCCACCCCAAATGACTGCTCTGTATACCAAAGGTGGCTAGTCGATAAACATAACTGTCTTTTTGGTGGCATATAGAAATCTGTAGCCCAGGGGCCTACATTTTCTAGAGTGATAACACATAACTGTCTTTCTGGTGGCATACAAATTCTTAATCTGGCTCTATTCAATCTGTTTTGTATTTGTGGTGTGTGGGCTTTAATTTTATTTTTATAGGATCGATAATACTATATTCTCATTTCTGTAGGTGGAAGGATAAACCAGATAATTAACAAGTACTTAAAACTGAGAAATTGAAATTCTTGCTTTTAGTATTTCAAAGTTTTACTACTTTTTTTTTTTTAGACCATCAATTAGCAGAAAATGGAATATGAAAACAGTTAAATATCAGACATTTTACAAGTCATCATATTAGACATGAAACTTAATTTTGCTAACTTATAAACAGACCTACAGATTTGAAAAATATAAATAATAATCGTAAATTGTGTTTTTTTTATCTTGTCCGAAATACTTGAAATGTTACAACAAGTATTTTAATTTAAAGATTACATTAAATGACCATTTAAAAGTGGTATGTACTTAAAGACACTGTTTATTGTATACAATTCATAATTCACTGAGATATCTTCACTGAAACCTACCCTCAATCGATTTTGCCAATTATCTAAACCTCTAAATTTCCCAGTGACGTCAAAGTGACCAATTGTTTATCATTTTGTATATTCCTGTAAAGATTTGAATAACTGAGAGTATTAAAGTTAATGTGTTTTTTGGGATTTTTTGGGTACAATACTGGTTATGTTTTTATATTTTGTAGAGAACTCATCAAATCATCTGTTTTAACAGTACGAGATGTGGGTTCATGGTGGTTAGCTATACCTAATGCTGGTGTTTTTATGAAAAGTTTTGTAAAAGGCAGAAAGTTTATATTGACGATGCTGAGAAAATGTAAATACAAACAAGTCTTACAAAAGGTAAGTTAAGGATGTGAACTTTTTACGGTCAGGGTTATTCATAACCACAGTGTTTACAAATAAAGATAACCTGGTAAGAATACTTATGAAGCATTTTTGACCTGACACAGACTGTTGCTCATTGAAGCTACCAAATACTCCTTTTGATTGTTTATTATACAGACTATCCCCATAAAAAGTTGTCCTAAATACTGTGGTTACAAAATTCCTCTTCCATTTGTTAAATGGAATTGATTTGAGTGAAAAGTGTTATCCATAACATTAGTCCAAAGCACGGTATTAATAGATAATTTGGCACACAATTATTGAAAGTTGTGTTTGAAAATAAACAATTTTAACCAGTTTGTCATGCCATTATTTATAAGATCACATGGCTAAGTTTGATGCAGTTTTGTATTGGAAGAACTTTTCTGGTGAAGCTCTTGGCAGATGATATCTCTTCTCATTTGGTTTAGAACATTGATTTTCAAAAAAGTCCAACTATTTTTACAGAAAGTGTAAGATTCAGCAGTGGTGTATGTCAACAGCTTTTGAGTTAGATTTTAATGTATCATGTTTGGATATAATTACATGGTTTGTTTTTTTCTTGTATTCTTTTAGGAGCTAGAACAAAGAAAATGGCCCAAATTAGCTCGTTTAGGTATAATGTACCATGTTAATGATATTATTGGAGCAGATCTAGTTGTCAGGTTAGAGTATTTCATTTATTGACAAAACAATCTGATTAAAACGTATTTTTATAGTTCAAAATTTTGTTTTACTTGTCTTCACTACACCAGGATCTGGAATAGATGTTAAATAACCTGGGTGATGTAAGGGGTTAGCCAATCAAATGGTCTGTTGAGTCAAATTCTCTATGTGTGGTGCAGACCTGTGGGTAGACATTTGCAGAGATAGAAAAAAGAAAAGCCATCCAAATAGCCACTTGGAATACTGATGTTGATTAGTTAATCAAATGACTGATGTCATAGAGTCAAAAGTCACTTCTATGACCTCTGGTGCGGCATGGTGATTATGAATAAAATGAAATTTAATGCGCTTGGGCTAAATTGATATTTTAAAAATCGGCTTAACCCTGCCTTAGTAACAATTAAATGTCAATAATGACTACCTCATTTGCCTGAAAAAATTAAAGAAAAGTGATATTTTTTGTTCCTTCTTTTCAAAACCAGAGGAAACTACTGTTTCCTAGACCCTCTCCAAATACTGGAGTTACAGAATTAGTATAATATATACCTTAAAGCGGAAATTGCAAATTTTCAAGTTATATTTTTAAAATGTATTAAAATAAAGCCTTAAAATAGATGGTATCCATAAACAGTCCTACCTTATCAAAGAATAATCCTATTAATCCTATAATTCGCTATTGCCAGCTGAGAAATTGGCAAAAATATCATTTTTAACTTCAAATTCCAACGTTGGAAAATGGCTGCCCCATGTTGTCAATAGCAAAACAGGGGAGGTAATTGTATTGTTATTTCCTGTGTCATAGATTTTTAAGGGTGGGAAATAATGCCCATGATCGTATAATAGTGATTTGATAACCTATTGAGCAAAAGACATAGAAATAATTATGTTTTGACTTTCTTAGAAAATTTGAAATTCTCGCTTTAAATAGTTTACAATTATTCTTGTGACTGACAATTTGGGGTGCAGGGGGAGCAGTAGTTTTGGGTGTTTAAGATGCTAAATTTGATTATTATATTTTCATTCTTCTGTTTCAGAGTTCAGACGACTTCAGGGGTTTTATTAAGATTGAAAGATTGAATATAGAGTTGTGAGAGAGTGATTGGAGATAGGAATACATGTTGAAAAAAGTTACGTGCTCTTGGAAATGATGAAAAACAATTCATTAAGAAAAAGATCAATTTGTGTTTAAATGTATATATGAGTTGCACATTCATGTTCTGTTTTAAGATTATTTTAAGTTATTTGTTTACAAGATGTAAACTTTAAGAAGTATATATAAGCTTTGCCAAAGTTAATTTATCTTTTTTGCATTTTGAAAGGAGAAGAGAATCCTACTTTTATTTTATTTATTATGTTGAAAGTACTGTGATATTATGGGTCTTATGTTATGGTTGTGTGAGTGTTTTGAATCATGATACTATTACCTGCTATGTAGGTTCAGTGCTATGCAGTAAAAATAATTCATTATATATAGTATCCGTACCCCTTTCTCTATATATTGTATAAAGTATTGTCAGTGAAAGTTGGTGCCAGTCAAGGTTCGTAACATCCCTTTACCACTCATGGTGTAAAATAGCTGAATAATGTTGGGAGGTAGGTCTCTGTACTGAAAATTTGCTCTATTTGGGCATCATGTGTTAGGTAAAGAGCTCAGAGTTTCAGAGAGTTAATAGTCGGGCTTTACTTGCATCCTAGTGACTGGGTAGAAATTGGGTCAACTGATGTTGATCAAGCGCAGTATAAATGTACACAATATAAATTCATTGTCAACACAATCATCCAGACATCCCATGATATTTAGCTATTCTGGGCCATCGGTAATAATGTTATGGACCATGGTTAATCCAGTATTAACAGTTTATTGTTGCCAACCTTGTACCTCAGACTACTCCTCGGCCCTCTGCTATGTTTGCTCCTCTCTATAAGAATGAGGCTACAATTCCATATTTACAATGTATAAGACACAATGAGTTGGTCATCCTTTCTTTAGTCTGTTACTTCATTTAGTCTCTGGTAACCAGATCTCTCAGTCCCTGGTAACCAGATCGTTCACTCTCAGTACCTGGTAACGAAATCCATACCATAACACACGTGATGGTAAATTGTTATACACTTAAAGAGGATGCTTGATTGTCAGTCAAGAATTGACAGAACTGCAATCGAGTGACACAGAATTTAGTCAGACTTCAGTTCTGTCAGCTCCAACATCTGAGGTGGTGGAGTAGAATCTTGACGTACTTAAACACAACGAATATGTTTCAGACGTCTGAGGTGGTGTGAGTAGAATCGTGACTTTCTCAAACACAACGAATATGTTTCAGCTGTCATTGTTGGTTGAGATATTTTCCTATGAAGTCAGTGGATGTGTTGTAGCTCGAAACACGCCTTTTTACTCCATTGTCACTATTTCTGGGATTGAGACGATTCAATTCCAGAACGTTCAATCAAGGATCCTCATTCATAGGTTTACCAAACTTTTTAGCCTACATGGTGTTTAATCGTGGTTATCTAGTTATGCAAAATATTTAGTTTCATCCTTACCAATAGTAAACAAAATAGTTGTGGACCCAGGAAATGGCCAAGTTTTCAATCTCTGTACTCGAAACTACATTATTGCTGCCATATTTATTAAAACTGTAAACTTTAATTTTATATATTGTATATTGATACTGGTTAATTATATTTTCCTGGTTGAATTTTGATATGTAACTAATTTTTAATATAATTGAATATATGTTTCCACAATGGTCACAGGTATGTATGACTAAATGTTTATGTTATGGTGTTAAAAGAAAGATTTTTTTGTTTTTAAAAGCAATAAATTATTTTCATTAAACAAAGTTGAGTTGTTTCTTAATTACCTAATCCAACAAGCCAACATTGAGCCAGATGTTCCACACTCAGAAGCAAATTAAATGTATGATAATCATTAATTACTTGCACATTTATCTTTTTAAAAAGTATCTCACAGTTACTCTGGTTGACCGATACAGGAAATACGCATTATCGAACTTACAGTGGTCATGGTTACCGTCACGCTGAAATGAATGGGGAGAAAATTACTAGTGCGAATCCTGATAACCGTCATAAGACTGGAGTTATTTCCCTTTGTTCTTTGAACATTAATACCCTATAGACTCGAGTCAAGAATTGCAATCGAGTGACACATAATTCAGTCCTATCACAGTTCTGTCAAACCCGACAGCTGAGGTGGTGTGAGTGGACGTGACGTACTTAAACACAACGAATATGTTTCAGCTGTCATGGTTGTTTGAGATACTTTCTTGTGCAGTCGGCTGATCCGTTGTAGCTCGAAATCCCCCTTTTTACTCCACTGTCACCATTTCCATAGGGATAAGAGCCAGGAGGCAGGGGAGGCAGCAGCCCCTCTAACTTTCGGACAATCTGACTTTTCGGACAGACGGGTCAATGAAAACAAAAAAAATTCATGTAGTTAGCAAAATAAAGTGCCCCAAATCTAATAAAACACCAATTTTACTTTTCTTTTAATTGAATACCACGAATTTGACTATGGATTAAAACATTTTGTCTGGAGTCACTCTACTTTGTACGACATTTTCGGGCATTGATTAGTATTTGTGAATGCAGGTGCAACAGTCTGATTAACTCACGAGCTAGAACAGCAGAAAAACGCATTTGCGGCGGTTACATTTTCAAAATTTTCTCCACGAGGACGAGGCCCCCATACCCCGCAACGATTGTTTTTTTAGGGATTTGGGTCAGCCACCTAAGGTAGGCTATATTGGACCACATTGACGTTACTGTTTTCAAGGACTGGTATAGCAATGAAATGAAATGGGGTTTAACGTCCTACTGTTCTGCTCCTAACCTGGGCTAATGAAGACGGGCATACGCCATACAGTGTGCTATGAGGGAAATTTTGCCGGGCAGCAGCGCTACGGCCTACTCTTATATCGAATTCCAACTGCCAAGGGATCTTTTACGTGCACGCCAATGTGTACACGGGACCTCGGTTTTTCGTCCCATCCGAACGACCAGACAGCTGTCCTCGTCAGGCCCTCAGTCCTGCATCACTGACAAGGGGAACCACGCCGGAAAATCGCTGGAATAGCAGGAAAACGCGTTTGCGGCAGTTAAAAATTCAAAAGCTTCTCCCGACCGACCCGTTTCTGTGAACTGTAAACGATTGATTGGTTGATTGGAATTAGTCTTATTAAACCACCTGGAGGTTGTTGTATTCACGGGCTAGAATAGCAAACATTTTCCCAATTTTCTTTGCTTTTTGGGGGGGCGGGGGGGGGGGGGGCTAATCCGAATTTTTTTCGGGTACTTCGAGGTTTTCCCCCGCCCCACCAACAGTCATCCAACCCGTACGCCTATGACTATTTCTGGGATTGAGAGGATTCAATTCCGGAACGTTCAATCGCAACCTCTTGTATAGGTTTACCAAACTTTTTAGCCTACATGGTGGTCATCCTTTCTTTAGTCTGTTACTTCTTTTAGTCTCTGGTAACCAGATCTCTCAGTCCCTGGTAACCAGATCGTTCACTCTCAGTACCTGGTAACGAAATCCATACCATAACACACGTGATGGTAAATTGTTATACACTTAAAGAGGATGCTTGATTGTCAGTCAAGAATTGACAGAACTGCAATCGAGTGACACAGAATTTAGTCAGAATTCAGTTCTGTCAGCTCCGAGATCTGAGGTGGTGGAGTAGAATCTTGACGTACTTAAACACAACGAATATGTTTCAGACGTCTGAGGTGGTGTGAGTAGAATCGTGACTTTCTCAAACACAACGAATATGTTTCAGCTGTCATTGTTGGTTGAGATATTTTCCTATGAAGTCAGTGGATGTGTTGTAGCTCGAAACACGCCTTTTTACTCCATTGTCACTATTTCTGGGATTGAGACGATTCAATTCCAGAACGTTCAATCAAGGATCCTCATTCATAGGTTTACCAAACTTTTTAGCCTACATGGTGTTTAATCGTGGTTATCTAGTTATGCAAAATATTTAGTTTCACCTTACCAATAGTAAACAAAATAGTTGTGGACCCAGGAAATGGCCAAGTTTACAATCTCTGTACTCGAAACTGCATTATTGCTGCCATATTTATTAAAACTGTAAACTTTAATTTTATATATTGTATATTAATACTGGTTAATTATGTTTTCCTGGTTGAATTTTGATATATAACTAATTTTTAATATAATTGTTTCCACAATGGTTACAGGTATGTATAACTAAATGTTTATGTTATGGTGTTAAAAGAAAGCTTTTTTTGTTTTTAAAAGCAGTTGAGTTGTTTCTTAATTACCTAATCCAACAAGCCAACATTGAGCCAGATGTTACACACTAAATAGCAAATTAAATGTATGATAATCATTAATTACTTGCACATTTATCTTTTTAAAAAATATCTCACAGTTGCTCTGGTTCAACGATACAGGAAATACGCATTATCGAACTTACAGTAGTCATGGTGTCTTTTTCTAACAATATTTATTCAATATTTACATATTATAAAGATACAATGTTTAATTATGGGATCTGAAAACAAGCCGGGGCTTATATAAAGCAAAACAATTATTTATTCTCACTTAATGAAAATGTACAAAATACTTAATCTACAGAAGTTAATGTGGTTAGCGACACGATTTTCTCATGTTGATAGTGTGATACGAACCTCGAGCTGTGAATAGTGAAATTGGAAAGTAGTCATGGTTACATTGAAAAGAATGGGGAGTGGATTACTAGTAGGGGGTCACGGAGGCTAAGTGGGTAAGACGCTGGCTCGCTAGCCTGGAGGTCGTGTGTTCGATCCCTGCATTGGCCGAGAAAGTTCATCCAGATTTTCCAACATGGTTCCCCCTTGTCGGCGATGCAGGACGGAGGGCCTGACAAGGACAGCAGTCTAGTCGTTCGGGTGGGACGAAAAACCAAGGTCCCGTGTACAAATTGGCGTGTACGTAAAAGATCCCTTGATAGTTGGAATTCGATATAAGAGTAGTGCCGCTGTCCGGGAAAAATTTTCCTTATAGCACACTGTATGGCGTATGCCCGTCTTCATTAGCCCAGCTCGGAGCTGAACAGTAGGACGTTAAACCCCATTTCATTTCATTTCAGAATTACTAGTGTAAATCCCGATAACCGTCATAAGACTGGAGCTATCTCCCTTTGTCCGCTTCCACCGAGGTGATATCGTAGACAATTTGTTCCAGTGGGCGATTGTATAGAACTTATATAACATTTTGAAAGAAACAGACGGCTCTTGTGATGTTTTAATATTTTGAACACGACGGCTCTTGTGATGTTTTAATATGTTGAACACGAACTGGGAAAGTATTTCTATATATTTGATGAGATATACCGCACACACATTTCAGCATGGGTTATCCTCGACGTCGGGCCCATGGAGAAAATATTAGCGTTGTGTATAAAATATAGACAGCAACTTATCCGAAAGGAAAGCTTTGATTTTGGCTTTGACCAAATTCGATAAGGATCTTTTATATATGCCTCCAAGAAATCTGATTGCGTTCACAAGCTTTAAAAGAAATGCGTTAAAATTTGGTGTCCTGTGGGCTTTGCTTTCTGTATGTCTCATGAAATTTGTAGAAAGGGAATAGGCCTTACTACTTCTTTATATAATCGGAGTGAATAAGCAATGAAGGGATGTTGGGGGGGGGGGGAGGAGGGGCTCTTTTCTTCGGGACTGTTACCCATCTTCGTTTTATAACACCCTTGTTTTATAACACCCTCACAAATTACCACAATATTTTGTGATACCCATGTAGTTTTGATAAGCAACGTACTTATTTCGAAGTTTTGGCATTCATGTTTGATGTAACTCTCATTTTTGTGTCTCATTATTTCATTGTTGTTGAAGATTTTGTCATACTCATTGGGGTTAATCTTTAACCCCTAACCCTGAATTTATAGGTTTTAATCTTAAATACCTGACCCTAACCCTAACCCTAATCCTAAAATGTAAAAGTGATGGAATGTAAAAGTGATGGAATGTAAAAGTGATGGGAATAGAAAAGGGAGTCGGATCAAACATGATCGCCGAAGTTTTCATCTGTAAAAATGAATGGAGTTATTCCCCCTTAATTACAAACTACTGACAAGAATATGATCTTCGTTATCCTCAATCCCACACTCTCGCCACATAAAATAAGGTTGATAATGATGTACAAGAAGATATGAAACTATATCCTTGCTATGCTCACCCTGGTTTATTCTTTCTGGAATAGTTGATACCACTTGTCACTGGGATCATATGTGATGTCCTGGCCAAGGTTCACATAGCTGGCGTGAGCCACGGTGGCTAAATGGGTAAGACGCTGGCTCGCTAGCCTGTAGGTTGCGTGTGCTATCCCTGCATTGGCCGAGAAAGTTTATCAGGACCTTCCGGCTGTTTCCACATTGTCAGTGATGCAGGACGGAGGGCCTGACAAGGACAGCTGTCTAGTCTTTCGGATGGGACGGAAAAACGAGGTCTCGTGTATAGCCTACATTGACGTGCTCGTAAAAGATCCCTTGTCAGTTGGGGTTCGAATATTCGATATAACAGTAGGCCATAGTGCCGCTGCAGGGCAAAATTTCCCTCATAGCACACTGTATGGCGTATGCCCGTCTTCATTGACAGTTTTGAGTGTCCGTGTTTTAGCGACCTCAGAACTGATATATGGAGCTACACACTGTCACTAATTATTTAAATGAATGTCTATGACAGTAATATTGACCAAAGACAAACAGCTACACGGTTAATACAATAAGAATATATTATTGATTTGATTGATTACAAAAATATAACTGACAATTTATATACAATTCTGACAAGTCTGATAATAAGTTTTATTTAAATGAGATGACAAGAGTTATATGAAGCAGTTGTCTGTAGTAAGTAATAAGGCTTTTCTAAATACAAATTGACAAAAACAGGTATTTAATATAATAAAAATATAATTCATAATAAGTTATTTAACACAGTTTATTAATACAAAAATCAATTTACAGTTGCAATTCCTTGTAAAACATAAAAAGAAGAATCTCTAAAAGTAATGAGGAGTTGAGTGGCCGAATGGTTAACGCGTGTGGCTTTGATCATAAGGTATGTCATTAAGTCAAATGCCGTGGTTTCGAATCCCCGCTTGTACGTGACAAGAAGTAAGATGGCCTGTCCAACCTCTTGGGTTTTTCCGGGTCTTCCGGTTTCCCCCCACTTCTAAAGACCCTGAAATAATATTGAACCATGTGTTAATCCCGAAATGACCTAGTTTGTGTCGAGTGGGCCTTAAACCCCATTTCTCTTTCTCTAAAAGTAATATCAGACCAAAATTGTTCTGTTCCGTTCAGTATTTACAAAGATACGATGAATTAAAAATGTGTTAACATTAATTTGGCATCCTCTGTAGACAATATTATAGAAAATGGTAAAATCCGGCCAACGTATTGTATAATTTTCGCTGAAATCTTTTGGGGAAACTCTTCTTAATCCGATTGAATATAAGCCAGGAGATTATCTAGCGCTGATACTTTATTTTGTTATGTTTTTGGGTTGTTTTTTTTCAATTAAATGTTTTAACATTATCAATTTCACCGTGGATTAAGTCTTGAAAAATAGACTAATGTCCGAAAAATGTAAAATGACGATCATTAATAAATCATTTACAAAAGGTTCCTTCAAAATTATTCGGTAATCATCGCACATTTTTCAAAATGCCTATTCGTGAAAAAAGGGGAGGAATACTCAAAACAAAATGTCAATTCAACGCACCAAAAGCGACCAACTGTTAAAATGTACACAGTTTCATTAAAACCCAATTTAAGAATATTAATCACGACCAAGTTGTGGCATGACTTCAAATATATCGGTAGAACATGACATATTGAAGGTTACACACAAAAAACCTCATGTCCAGAGGAGGTGACCAGAGTGACCAGTGGTCATCCTTCTAGCCATTATCGCCACGTGTCCACGTTTGTCTAAAGTATTAATGTTTTATCTGTCCGAAGTTGGATGACCATCATTTGATAAATGACCACAACACAAGTCACAAAGTTGTAAAAAAGATGACAACTGCGATTAGCGTTAAGCGTCGTTATTGTGACACATGGTCAGTACTGAAAACAATGGCGCGAGTATGCCAATATCATTAGATAATATCATTTTTCAAGTGATTTTATCAAATATATTGGAAATGATATGAAATAGGGTTTGACGTCCTACTTTTCTGCATCGACTGGGTTAATAAAAACTTTCGCCATACAGTGTGCCATGAAAGAAATTTTGCCCGGCAGCCTACTCTTATATCGAATTCCAAATGTGAAGCTTTATTATAAGTGTATGCCAATATGTACATGGGGTCTCTGATTTTTCGCGCCATCCGAACGACTAGACGCTGTCCTTGTTCATTGGCATCAATAATATTCACACAGTCATGACCATAAATATGATACAACTCCTTTAAAAGCTTGGAGACAGGACCTATGATTTTATTTGTTGATTCCATTGGATTTTATATGTTGATTTCTTTTGTCGACACGTTTACGCCCATAGATAAAGCTGGTTTTAAGATATAACCCATCCTGTGTTCCACAATAAGCCTGAAATTAAACTAAAATTTGTATATTAAACCTTATAATGGAACAGATTAACCCAATCTGAATATTTAATCTGAACTAAATCATTGAGGTTTAATTTCTTTAAACGGATGTCAACATAAAAAGAAACAAATTATGAATCTCGGTGCATTCTTTTAGCTATTGTTCGTTGGGCGGAGAAGAAAGCATCCCAGAAATAAATGAGTTTATATTGGACATTCTTTCGACATTCTGTCTGTATATTGATGGTGGACTCAAAGGACATTTGAAATCGACTGTTAGCTGATCTCTGTAATGCCTTTCTTGGATGTCTTCCTTAACCAGCGGCTGCCAGACAGGATACGCCCACATTTTTCAAGAGATGGATAGAGAACAAGCTAAACAAAAAGCGATTTTTCGTAACATCAAGAGCCATAATTCAGGAAGGTACGATCAGATATGTGGGAATATCGACAGGAACCAAGATCTTTGGGTTATAAACATGCATTTCAAGTTTCATTAAAATCGGATCAAAATTGTGACCTCAGAGGGTACACAACCTTGATATACCAAATGTTTATACTATTCGCGTAGAGGGGGGGGGGGCATTTTGTCTGGCAGTTTTGGTCCGATTTTTCATAAAATTCGAACTCAACCAACAGTACGGTGTAACTGTGACATATTCGAACGTTTTTTTTTAAATCAGGTGATAATTGTGACCTCTTGAGATACCACAAGCTAAAAACGCGATTTTTCGTACAATCAGGGGCCATAATTCAGGTTTATAAACATGCATTTCGAGTTTCATTAAAATCGGGTGAAATTTGTGACCTCTAGAGAGTTCACAACCTTGATATACCATATTTTTACACTATTAGCGTACGAGGGGCGGTCATTTTGTCCGGCAGTTTTCACGAAATACGAACTCAACCATCATTGGGTTTTTTAAATCGGATAATAACTGTGACCTCGAGAGGAAACACAAGCTAAAAACGCGATTTTCGGACAGTCAAGGGCCATAATTCGGGAAGTTACAATTCGATATGCGCAAATATCGAAAAGAACCAAGATCTTTGAGTTGTAAACATGTATTTCAAGTTTCATCAAAATAGGATCAACATTGTGAGCTCTAGAGGGCCAACAACCTTGATATACCATATTTTTTACACTGTTTGCGTTCGAATGGCGGCCATTTTGTCCAGCAGTTTTGGTCCGATTTTCACGAAATTCGAACTCAACCATCATGAAGGTGTAACGGTGATATATTCAAACGTTTTTTTTTTAAATTAGAATAAAATTGTGACCTCCATGGGGTCCACAAGCTAAAAAAAACCGCGAATATCGAAAGGAACCAACTTGGGTTATAAACTTATATTTCAAATTTCAACAACATCTGATAAAAATTGTGACCTGTAGAGTGTCCACAAACAATTGTGTCCGGACAGACATGGGCGACGACAATATACGTTCACATGAAAATGTGGGCGTATAAAAAAAAGATCAACCTGTCATAAGTTTATAGTGTGTGATTTGGGGAACTGCACAGACCATTTTTGGTATGTGTTCAAATAGAATTTATTCAGAAGTACTGTAATAAAAACTACAACCCAATATCTTACGAAGTTATATCAGTATTGTAGGAATATTAGTTTCCTGACAACTCCTTTTAACTCCACCTCATATGATGGCGGGGGAAGGGGATAATTTCAAATATCAAAAGCTAGAGATCAAGGCTTCACAGTTAAATCTCCCACATGGGCTCTGTCTTCATTAACCCAGTGGGAGCAGAAAAGTAGGACGGTCAACTCCATTTCATTTTTTCATTCTCACATGGGCTAACAATGCGATTAATATATAGATGAACTGTTCCAAAATGAACCACCGTACACCAAAAGAAACTACCCCTGAAATTTGTTTCGAACTCATCCAAGAACTCGGGTGCCCCATTAACGTGCATTGCGAAGTATGTTGTCAATGAATATTTATTGATTATCGTATGTGGGCCCTGTCTTGCATTATTTCGTAGTTGATGATTTGGGTAATTTCAGAGAAATTTCTGAACAACGCTACATTTAAACTAGCTGGACAAACAACTCTGACCAGTGGTCAACGATAATCACAGATAATGTACGTTTAATGACCGACACGTGGCCAGAGTGCCAAAGAACGTGCGTTCGAACGTCACCTCATCCAGCAAAGGTTATGATGCAGCGTGACGTTTTACGCATAAAATTGTGACGTTGTGTAAACAATGATGACAATTCCTTTACACAGGGGTCAGTTGAATTAAAACTGAATAGAGAATCAGTTACAGGCGCGTGTGGTTGTTGAATAGACAATATTTTATGTTTCATGACATCTGACAATTCTTGCCATTATTGATCCTAGTTTAAATTCTCGGAAAATAAAACAAACAAAAGTTCATGTAGAAATCTAGGCATTTATTGCGGGTAGCCTAGTCATTTTTTACCTTTTAAATACCCCATTTGAATAGCCATATACTCTAATTTGTTCCTTGATATCAACAAAAATATAAACGCCATCTTTAGCGGGGATCGTACAATCCACAAAAATCTTTATCTGTGACATATTTCTTTTTTTTAATTTTGGTCCATTGTGGTACGGGGTGATTATGGTGCGGCGCATGGTCCAATATGTTTAATGTCTAGCCTACCTGGAACTATATACATCAAAAATGAAATACCTGAATATAGCTTTTTCTAAAAGATTTGAAAATGAAACATTAGGCTCTGCTTCAAAAATCTTACTAATATAAATTCAGGATATTAGTTATAAGTTTTGCAAAAACATCCGTCACTACATTTGGCTAACTGGAGGTAAACTTATGGCCACCGGATATAAGCCAAGTGCAGAGGTTATATAACATTTTGCCCCACAGCAAAATCAAATATTTATTTTTAAAGTTTTATGTAGGTCTATATTTACAAACACATATCAGTTACGTGTACCTCTGAAATATTAAAAGCATGTTTTTCTGTATCAAAAGAATACCATAAGGGTCCCTACAGATCTAAGAAAAACCCAATGGGAAATCGAGATTTCGGATAATTCTTGAAAAATATAATGCTTTTATTTGTATGATTCTCTAGATATTGTGTTTTCGGTTATTGGTTAAATCTTGATTGACAGTCAAATTCTATCAGACGCCAGATTCAACGAGTCGCCTACACACATTCCAGTGACATAAAGTAAACAACAGCTCGCGTCTTAAGGTTCAACTTATCTCTATTATATTCCATAAACATAGCCGAAATATGGTGAATATCAAACACCGAGGTTTTACCTAGAATGGCGGCAAAGTGAACACCTGCTTCAAAACTTTAAACAATCGAACTGAACACACCTGGAGATGACCATCATCTATTACCCGAAGAAAGAGGGCGTTACCAGGGTCGTGACCTTTCATATACCGAGAATCAGATCTTAGTAGTACAATAGTTCCTTGAGGGTATGACGTAATGGTCGAGTGTGGAAGCGCCAAGATTTGAATAAACGACGCCATGGATACCTTATAAACTTGTATTTATTGTTTTGGGTAAGAATGATTCAAAGAGAAATATGCATAAATATAAGGTAAACAGAGTTTGTGAATAATCTGTTTGATCTTTGATCTAAGTATGGAATAGTAAGGGTGGAGTGATACCTGGCCTGAAAGTGAAGTACCCGATAAGCGTACTGTACTTGTGAAATCAGCTTTCTTCAAGTGGAATTACTTCAAAATAACTGCATACTATTACATCAGATATGAAGTTCTCTGGTTACATGAACATCCATATTCTTTTCAGAATGTACTATTATTCAGATAAGCCTCTCTAATATTCTGCAATAGATTAATTTTGACATTTCAATATTAAAGGTACCTGTACCGATAGTGTACTTTTTCGACAACATCTAATCTCTTAATCCACGGTAAAATGTATCCAGATTTATTATTTTTAGCGAAGAAAACAAAAGCAAACTATCAATCGGATTATAAAAAGGGTTCATCAAAACATTTTCCCCAGAACGTATAGGTGACGCTGGCTTGATTATATTGTCAACCGAATGTTGTGAACTTTTCAGTTCGTCATTTTGCACATACTGAACGGAATTGCACTGATATTCCTTTTAGAGATACAACTTTCACAATATTGTAGTTTGACAGGCATTCAAATCTCTCAGTTGCCGATCAACGGCTTTAATGCAATCTGTACAGTTGTTATTTTTATTTGGTTCTTCATTGTCTATGTATTAGGACCAGTGCTATACCATTTAGTAGCCTATATAATATGTTTTACTGAAAAAATTGCTTCATTGATCCATACCTTTCAGTTGAAAGCAAAAGTTTTTTCTGTAACCTTGAGTAGATTCGTTGTCCCATTTTTACTTTTTGTAATAAGGGCAATTATTTATTATTTATGGAAATGCTGAACTTCGACCGGTTTAATGACATGAAAAAAAACACCTAACAATTTATTTTACCAAATTTGATTTGTCAGGGAATGCCCCAAGAATCTTTGTTATTCGGTGAATAAGGTTACGTTGGGAGAAAGTTTTAATAATGCATTATGTGTATAACATATATACCGTTGAAAACACAGATCTACGTCATGGGTTAAATTCTGAGATAGTTAGAAACAAATTAAATAAAATGGGGATTGAAGTCTGCACCAACCAGGTTAATAAAACGGGACATACGCCATGCAGCGTGCTATGTTGGATATTTTGCCCAAACAACGGCGCTAAGGCCCACTCCCACTTCGATTTCAAACTGGCAGAGGAACTTTAATCAACCGTACTACTAGATGCCCTTTCTTGCAAGAACCGCTCACGTGCACCACTGATAATATTAAACCAGACTGGAAAATTCCGAGGGCTTTTCTCGGACAACACCGGTCTGGATATGAGTCATTCACAAAATCACCGGTTAGAAACAAACTATTACGTTATAATTTTTAATTCAGTAACATTTATAATGAAAACTTTAACATATGCGGGTAAATTAATGCTGGCGTCTTCGGGTGCACTTCAATATTCAAATAAATTGATTAATTAATTGATGTGTAGAGAATGACATGGTATCCCGCAATTATCTTATTACCAACATCTAAATTAAACCTAGGTCCAAAATAGTACAATATTGTTCTTCATAAATACCGTTCCGGATATATGCCACTGTCGGAACTCCACCTTACCATAATGTTACCAGTGGCTTGCCACATCGCTGACCACTCCAGACATGATTAATGGTCACTTCATTAGATATGTGACACCATTGCAGTGATTTCATTATTTAACTTAGAGACGACATTTTCAAGTGTTACTAATTTAGTGGTGACAGTTTCCGACAATTATATCTTCTTAAATTCCAATCAATCCTTACATTGTTAAACTTATATTTAATTAATAGAACGAGAATAGTAGGAATTGGAATTTGGCTACTAGAAAATTCAAGTATTTCCATGGAGAAACTAAATCAAATTAATTATTTACTGATTAATGTTAACGTGACACTTTGCAATTTTGACATCGAATCTTGATTTACTTCTCAAGTTCTTTATATTCAAGCTCGCAGCTGATTTTTTTATACTGACCTATAGGCGGTTTGTATTGAAAATTAAAATTCGACTTCCTTGGAAGTTGTGGCAAGAATACTCTATAAGTTTTTCTTTTATTTTCAGTTAGGATAGTTCACTTTAATGTTTGTGTTAACTCACTTTGAGATTTTTTTTTTTTTTTTTTTATGTCGTCTTTTTTTTTTTTTTAATAAAAAATGGATTCTGAAAAAATATCGTGGGCCACGTTTCCAAACGTCGTATTATCTGATTCAGATGTAAAAACCCACTATTTGTACGGAGCGCAAGGCATATTGCAAATCCTTGTCTTATATTCAATCTGGCAAACTGAAATTAATAATCAGTCCGATCATTGTAATTGAGAGAGAAAGTGGTAGATAGTCACACGTATCGATGCATCTTTAATTAGGTTTTCATATCAGGGAAGCATGTCGCCATATCGCGCAGATTTAATTTGTTTATTTTCTATTCAAACACGTGGCCAGTTAAAGAGAAAAACCCACTTTTCCCATATTAAAATTATAGTGTATATACAGCTCATAGCAATAATTATACACAAACCAACAAATAATATGGTGCAAACACTTCATCTACATATTGAAACACGTTTGACTTCGGGCAGGACAATTTGACAGGCGTGTGTTGATCTTGGTATGAAATTAACACGCATTTGTATTTTTTGACAAGTCCCGTCTTTTTTACTTAACAAATAATATTAGTAGAATTTTCATCAATAGACAATTCAATACTATTTCTCTTTGTTACACTATATAAAATTAAAATCGCCAATCCCCATCTTGCATTTTTCGGACGATATCTAATTTTCACACAGTTTCTTCCATAGATAAGATGTATTCAGATAAATTATTATTTAATTAAGAAAACAAAAGCAGAATATCAACGTAGATAATCATTCAGCTTGGATTTACATGGATAGAAGTTAGTCCATCAAAAGAATTTCCCCGTCACCAATAGCTGGTATTATTTATATCGTCTCCATTGAAAATCGAATCGTGCAAAATTTCCAATGAGCATGATGTTATTTAATGACACTTAGTAGTGATGATCTCCAAGATCATTAGGCAGATCCAAACGTTAAGCAAATATTGTCTTTGAAAGAGTACCTAAAGTTTTAAACTACATTTTAGGAAAATCTTACATCGCACGCTTGTAGAATAAGACTCATAGTTATGAAGCATTTTCTGATACACTCGACCTCAAATGGTTGTTGTTGGATTCGTTTTCCAGCCAGTATGGTTGGGCTCCGACTGTCCATCCCGATTTTCATCAAGATACCGATATGAAACTTTCTAGACACATCAACATATAAAAGAAGTTGTGGGTTTTGGCAATTAGAAATTTTTCGGATTTAATAATTTTTGTGTTTACACTGAACATGATTTACTTTGTTTTGGGTATACAAGGGTGGGGGTCTTTATAATTTTGTCCTCTTTTTTAATTACGTCTATCATATAATTAGTCGGCTTAAAAAAATGAGCGCGATGATTTGGGACATTAGCCTTTTGTTCTGTGAAGAGACATGACATGTATATAGGTGTCCAGGGAGATGAGTTCACGTTAATAATACCCCTTTTAACTAATGGTAGGTCTGGGTTTCAAATTGAATTATTCTTAACGAAAATTCATCATCGAGGCCACACATTTCAAAAATGTTCTAACAATGGATGAGCATTCTGTATCTGTATTCTATTTCACAATTGTGGGCATGTTGAGGTGACGGCATTGAAGGCCACGCGTCAAGACTGACCCCGTAGTGGCCATTTTCTATACCTCATGAAAATTTCAACCATCGCACCTGCCCGTTTCATCACACCCCTCGCCGCTAAATGACCACCTCCACTGCCGTGTTTTATCGATGTGGGTGGGGTAAACGTATAGAATTTCAACTGTAATCGCTTCGTAACAAATTGGTTTTCCCGTTTTACATAATGCATGTTGATTTTATCATTCCATGGTGAGCTGTGTTTATTTATTCATGAAGGCATACATGTATTATCTATTCATGAGATAGTTCTCAGGGGACCTAATGAATTATTAGCGTTTGTCAGCAAGACATGTTTTGCTATTTTGTAAAATTGCTTCCCTTGAAGAAAGTACATTTACATGTGATATTATAATAAATCGAATGTTTAGGATAATTAGATTTTTTGTGTCATGCCCATTGCAGACGTTTCTGCACCACGATCATTAGATCAATCACCAACCAAACTCCGGAACTTCGTGGACTTTATAAATAATATTGTAAAAATGATGCTTTCACTTGAAGTAAGTAAACTTACTACATGTGGCATTATAATAAGATGAATAATAAGGATAGTGACATTATAGCACGTTATTTACCGCCTCAACCCCTAACCCTCGTTCATTGATCCAATCTCTAACCAAACTTCGGAACTTAATGTGTTTCATTCATTGAGCTTAAGTGAGTGAGACACCTTTTGGAGGTTCGATTTGACATGGGTAGAATTATCGTAATTAATCGTCCATAGTAGTGGCTATAATTGCAAATGCAGGAAAATTTTATTTCTAAATGTTATTAAGAAGTCGTTAATATCTTAATCTCAATAACGAGTATGTATCTATAGCTTTTATAGTTACATTTCCTTGGACTCAGTCTAGTTTTGATAATATATCAGTAACCTTATTTCTGATAATACTTTGGTAACAATAAATTCCTTTTAGCAGCATCAATTAACCAAACAGTCACCCCAAGAATTCCACATCCTAAAATATCAGATTAAAGTAGAGCCTCTGTAGATAGTCGCAGCTGGAGACCTCTTTGGACACATAGAAATAAACCCTTGAAATACGCTGCTACACCTCTCTTAACCAGCTTCAAGTCCAAACGATTATTAAGTTCAATATTACCCGTATTGTTATCCCTTTAAGGAGAATAATTTTCCAAAAGATACATTTAAGATATCTGACACCTCCGTTTCTGTAGCAATGAACGATGGCACACCTGTCCCATTGTCCATCCCGTGGACGCTGCATAAGAAATGACAAGTATATCGTACATAACAATACATCACTGACCAACACGAATTAGGGATACATTGTGTTTCTTCGTTCGATATGATACATTGTCAATGGCTATCATAATGTATTGTGTTTCAAAAGCTCGGAATCTCTTTAGTAGTCGGAGACCTAACAATAACCTGCGATATTAGCATGTTTTATTTTTTGTACATCAAAGTTGAAAAAGTCAATGAGCAAAAACTGATTAGTTTATGAAAAGAATAACGCATAATTTGCAGATTAATTGAATCCACGCCCTTTTTTCCACTCTCGTGAGTTGTGCAGACGACTATAGATAAATATATACATGTATATACGAATAGAGAGATCAAAGCGAGGCTATCAGATTAACTACGTTTCTGCGAAATTTGGCGAGATTTGAGTTGTTTTCAGGAGAAGTGGAGATTTAGATGATATCAGGACATGTGACACGATGTCATTAAAACATTAGATGTTATCGATGGGTGTTAAAAGGATTAGATCTATAATACAGGGGGTCGATTTATCTGGGATAACGATTTCTTCGTTTGTTGGAGAAGACAGAGTGGTATTTTAATCGTCGTGTGACACACAGACAAGCCTGAAGGAACCTTTCTCTACGGACAGAGATGTCTTCTAAGATAATGTCCTATTTTAACCAATCTTTTTTAAAAAGTTAAATTACATTATTTTCAAGTGCGATTGTAGAATGAAATAATGAGTGACTCGGTGACAATAAAATCGGAATAAAATTATCTGTTATCCAGTGTTGATATTGCACTTTCATGATTCTTAAAGATAGCAGATTTTGGTAGGAAATGTTATCTGCAATCGCTTCCAGCCTGATTAAAATACAGATCTATATTTCGTTTCGTTTTAATAAACCTTTGATGGCTACATGAAGTAAACCGACATTTTGAACTATAAAAAAGAAACGAAATAGGATCTATTTTTAATCAGATTGCAAACGCTTTAGACATGTCAGTTAAAAGTAAGTATTACATACAAGATCGGGTCACATCAGCTTTTTTGTTTTGATTACTTTCGGGATATATTCAGATCTGGATTAACCAATATAAGGAGGTTTCTTACAACACAAGGGGAAGGTGGGACATTACATTTATATTACGGTTAAGTAGCGTTTAATTTGAATCGAATTGTGGGTGTTGTTCGGATGAAACGAAACACCGAGGTCCAACGTACACATTGGCGTGCACGTAAAAGAAACCTTTGCCGCTGTCTTGGCAAAATTTCCATCATAACTGCATGTCCGCCTTCTTAGCCCAGTCCGTGCAGCAAAAACGACTGTTAAACTACATTTCATTTCATTTCATTTCTTAATACGAAAGGGACTGTTTGAAAGTATATGTCTATTTTTTCCAGAACATCAGATGATTATGTTAATTGACCCCCATTTAGAAGAAGGTACATTTACTGATTTTGTGGAATGTTCATCTAAGAAATCTTTCAAATTTGAAAACTGTAGGAGTAGTTTGCGATTTACTTTCGTTTGGGATGCAAATTGCTACTTGATTATTATTCACCAGAAGTGGTATTAAGAGCCATACAACTGGTCTGGTCTGCTTTTAAATATTAGAGAGTGGGAAATAAACCACCAGAGGGTAGAACTGATCCTAGTGGTGTACTGGCCGGCAGAATCAAGATTTTATGGTAAATACCATTTTACCCTAGAAGACACGTAAAACATTCCTTGACGAATGGAATTCAATGAACAGTTGGCCAAATTGTCCTTATAGCACACTGCATGGCATATACCCTTCTGCAATATCCCGATTGGTGCAAAAAAGTAGGACGTTAATCCCCATTTCATTTCATTTCTCATCGTGAACAAATGATGATCGCCATATAGACTGCCAACTGGGAGATCGAGATATTTCAGCGTACTGTGCTGTAGTCTACATAATATGACCGGTATTATTAAATGGGTTGACCTGTGAAAAAAAATGCTATGAATAATCCCACTGTTAACACTGCAATTGCTAATTGTATGGACATGTTTCGGAATTTTGGAGACAGCTTCGCCTGTTCACAATATCTTATTCGTGTCTGTTTATGTACCTACAGATGTTTCTTTAAAACGGGGCACTAAAAGTGTCTTATTCAGTAACCAACACAATATCTATGACTAAATGCTAATGACAAGCTCCTCCATATTGGGCATGTTACCATCAAATCAACGGCGGGTAACAGGAGAACAAAAGTGGCACACCTTCCTGAATTCATGGAAAATTAATGACCAGTTTCAAGATTCGTCTCCAAATAATCACCAGAGCTGTAAAAAAAGAGAATAATGGTTCTTTAGTATCTTTCTGGTATAAAGGGTTTACGATCTCACTTCAATGAATGAGGTTTTGACCAAGCCACGCGAACTCCTCTCTGACCTTCAACCTTTTTTCAGTCGCAGTTCAGAGGTTACGAGATTTATGGTAGAGACTCGCCGCGAGGGGTTGTTTGTCAAATACTAATGGAAGAACATTAAATTTTCCGTGTTAATCTCTAAATGATTTGATTTTTTTCTTCTGTAAAGAATAGGACTTAGTGAATCATTCGCGCCAATTTATTATATTACCATGTTCAGTGATGGGTTAGGCAAAACGAAAACACGAAACAATGATCACAATGAAATAACTAGTGAATGATAAGAACATTCTTGAAATGACATCATTTGAAAAAAATGATTAACAGTAACCATTATCCAGAAAATGTCCACGGTTGGTGGCAATTGTCCTGCCTCTACGCGATTATGTAACAGTATGCATATTGACTAAATCCCACAATGGTAAAATACATGTATGTTAATAAATAATTACATCACGTTGTGTACTGTCACAGAACAATGTGCATTCGTACATGTCTGGAATGAAAATAAACTTAGCTTTCTCTGGCCAGCTACTAGTATATACATTTCTATGACTGGCCGATGAATGCACTTAAAAAGTACTCTTATATACTTTAAAGACCACTGTAGGTCTTTGTTGTCTATCTGGCAGTCGGAAATTGAACAGGAAGGGCGGACACGCCGCTGTCCAGGCGAAATTCTCCCACCTCGCATTTTGTCGAAATAAAACACAAATGCCTGTCTCAAAAGGACGAGGTATTAAACTTCTTTATATTTCATTTCATCGGTACAATTCGCGAGTGAATCTTTAACTTGGCGCAGGAAAGTAGGATGTTAAATCATATTTCTTTCATTTCTGGCAGTTGGAAATCGAAGATAGACGGAAAGGCTACTGTCCGGACAAAATTCCCTACCGCTCAAAATTGTGTTGGCGACATATTAAACTCCATTCTGTTGCATTTCATTGTATACCTTCAGTCAAATAATACATGCTGGTGGGTGGATTGGGTTGCCTTATAGTTATCGCATCACAGTCATTCAACGATATATTCAATGTATTTATCAATATTGTACGAGGTGATTTCGTTAATAAACAAATAAACAATTTATTCATATTTGTCTTGAGCAATAATTACTTTTTTTTCAGAAACAAAACATGTTTTGTGGTGCAACAGATGGCCTAATTAATCTTGGAAGGGTTATAATTATATAAAAGTGAACTCAAACTTGTTAACTAATTTATGCAAACTTTAGAAATAAATTATATCATGTGTTGAATAGAACGATCTGTTAGCTTCTATGAACCACGCATTAGTACATTATGTCAGAGCACTGATTTGTATTAGTTTAACACTAGTGGCAGACGAAAAAAATAAATCAACAAGTTTACACAATCTGATAAAAGATCACCAATTTCGTGACATAATTCAAAAAAGATCACCAATACCGGGGCGTCATCCGAAAAAAGGTGTCATACTTGATTATTCAATAAAACATTGACAAATGTCTATCATAAATTGACCACTGTGAGGTATAGGAGTAAGATCACGATGACCCTATGACTTTACTACAGTTTTCATGATTTTGGTCAGTGAGCCGGAAGATAATGACCCAAGTGTATTGTGCACGGCCATTGCGACCTGCTCTTCTTTTTCTATCCCTCGAGCTGTTTATCTCTATTAGAAAGGAAGAAATGAGGAAAGGGGGACTACTTGCTCTATTGTCTTGGTTGTCTCTCTTGAAAAACCACCTGCCCGTGGGAGGGGGTAAATGGCTTTCAGTTTTAAAGTACCGTGAAATACGGGTGATTCTTTCCTCTCAATTACAATCTTTAATTCAAAAGATGATGTTAAAAATCTCACTTTTCCTGATTTATACTTGACATCGTCAATTGAAAAACTAATTCCTTAAGGCTGACCAATTTCAGGGATTAAGATGTATTTTTAACGGTTGAATTTTCAAATTCTGTTCCGTCAATAATGAGCAACGCCCCTGCTCTTAAATAATCTTGGATTAGACAAGCCGTACAGTGTTTCAGTATTTAATCTCGCGGATTAAGTCATATCGTTATAAAGTATTATACAAAGAAAAAACTAGATATTGAAGTGTCAAACATAATACCCCCTGTAAAAATCAAGGCGTTATAATCAGATTTAACAAAACTCAATAAGTTGTGTTAAAACGTAATATCGCTTCAGTCGTGTTTTTAATGATTTCAAAGGGATTATTTTAGTAAATTGATTTTTATTATAAAAATGGTGTAAAAAAATAATTGTATAATATGAATGAAGATTAAATACTGTTGAAGAAATGTGCTTAACATTTGGATAGTTATAAGCCTTTCGTTTCCTTAATATTTTGCTTTGTGTAATGTTTTGGACGTGTCACAGCACTGGCAATTTAATAACTAAAAGTGACAGCTTTCGGTCATAACTAAGTTCAACGATGCTCTCAATCTGATTAAAATACAAATCTATATTTCATTTCGTTTTTTTATATACTTTGGATGGCCTCTACTGGTGTGGTGCAGACAAGTAAAACGAAATTTTGAACTATTCAAAACGAAACGACATAGGATCTGTGTTTTAATCAGATTGCATTTGACAGTTAAAGCACGAGAACAAGGATAGTGTATACTTTTGTCCCAAAAATTGTCGGGCAATGGCGGCACCAAGGGTGGCAAGGGTGGGGCGGGGCATAAATCTCCCATAAATCTGGTCTGCCCTCTGTTTGCCCCCCCCCCCCCAATATTATTTTCTAAAAATAATAAAATATATTTGTGATATGTTTCGGTAATTAACAAATCCCACATTCCCACTAGTCATTAGACTTGCATGTTGAAGGGTCCGAGTGATTTCTTACCGAACCCATCCTGCTGTAAACCTAGTGTATTTGTTAAGATCGTAACTAATTTAAATCATTGTAATATTTAAATTGTAGGATATGTCGTAAACCGCAAAATGCCAGCAATCAACATACGTAGACGGTGGATTAGTTGCAGAAGTCATTTAATCTTTTTCGGGGTTTATATGTTGAAAAGACTAAAGAAACAATACCCATTTGGCAATTCCGTTTGAACTGTTAGTGGCTCTTTTATGTGTGCGCCATATACGGGCGAGTCTCTGTTTTTCGTATCACCCGAACGAGGGGGGTTGCATGGCCGAATGGTTAGCACGTGCGCGCTGCGCTGTATCATACGGTCTGTCATTGAGTCAACTGGCGGGGTTTCGAATCCCCCGTTGTACGTGACAAGGAGTAGGGTCGCCTGTCCAACTTCGTGGGTTTTCTCCGGGTCCTCCGGTTTCCTCCCACTGCTAAAGACCCCTACGCGCAAGCGAATTATTGAAATAAAATTAAACCATTTGTTAGTCCGGAAATGACCTAGTTTGTGTCGAGTGGACGTTAAACCCCATTTCTCTCTCTTTCTCTCTCTCTCTCTCTCTCTCTCTTCTCTCTCGCTCTCTCTCTCTCTCTCTCTCTCTATCACCCGAACGACTAGGCACACTTCCCTTGTCAGCAGCACCTTGTGATAATTGGGACATTCTACTTTAATTGGATAAGCCATTTTCTCGGGCTACGACGGGGATTCGATAACGGGACATTTTAGTCGAGAGGCAAACGCTTTAACGCTCATCCACGCTACCCCCCACCCAAACTTGCTATATTATGACATTAATATACGCTCACAGAAGACGTTATTTTTCCTAGATAATAAACGCTGAAACATTTACATCTCAACGGTTATAATGATCTCACTCAGGTCAGTTGATCCTTGTCAGCTGTAAAAAGAAAAACAGGGTGTCGATAAACTGATATAACAACATTGCTACGGGGCAGGGATTTGCGTATATTCCTAGAACACAGTAAGTCCCTATTATACACAATACAACCAATCAAAACCAATTCCTATGATTAATATTTATCCAGTAACACGCTACAACATTCTGAAAAATAATGGACAGGCGGATTATGGAGGATGTAGGAAGGGGGATTTATGATGAATAGTATGGTGTCCATAACGTTAATCTTGCACCATAGACGCCTCATTAAAAATGTAAGTGATCTTGAGATGTCTTTAGACGGTGACCATTTAGAAGCGTCCATTCTTTGATCTTATTGATTTTTAAGTCGCTAACTATTAAGCACAGACCAATGGTCATCACAGTGCATTACTGTCTCAATCGGTCAGATGAAAGCTAGAAGGCGATGCTACAATTATAATTAGCTTTCTGAATAACAATTATAATGTTCATTATCAGTTTACCTCGCTACTGTTACACTAGAAATATAAATAGACAGATCTTAGTTGATTGATTTCCTCACCAAGATGATCCCCCAAATATCACTTAGTCCTGTTAAATTGGGCAATTTTCTCCGCGTGGCGGCTAGGATGTAAGGAGCGGTGCCAAAAATAGTATATTGATAAATTTTGGTTAATTAAGCACGTGGAATTGTCTTTGAGAACATAATATTCTTTGATTGGTTATCTTTTTCTTTGTGTCATTTGTTTTAATTAAGATACATATACAATATCTGGCAAATATGTGTGTTAAAGACTTTGTGTAATGGCAGATATACAGTGAGTATAAGTCATTTCTCCATTCTCTGAATACTGTGTTACACAATAATGAACGCAGGAGCCAGATCATGTGAGTCGTGACATATTTTATTTGGTGCTCAAATGAATGTTTATTACAATTTCAGTTGCTTTTGGTCGTTGCTCAAATTTCTAAAC